TAATTTAATTTACTTAACAATGACAGGATTTTTTATACAAAAAAACAAATGTTTAAAACGCAATTATAATTTTTATGAACGCAAGTATATTTGACAAACGCCTTTATAAAATAATCGGCAATAAAACATCCAGATTAATTAATTGCTAATGAAAACATCAGATTTATGAAACATTTTTTAATGAATCTTTCTCAAAAAATAACACAAAATGTAAAATTTCGAATACATTACTTTGATTTCAATTTTTTACTTGTTGTTGATGTTTGTTGACGCATTGTCTTGAAATAAAGTCCATAGAATACTCCAGCGGCGACGATCAAAATGGTCGACAATACGGTGATATACTCTGCACGATTTCTGGAAAAAAGTATTATAAAATAAATAATTTGTAGCAATTATGAAGTACACTATAAAATATTCAAAATCAAGACCAAAGTTTTGGAAAAAAATGTCATAAACGATGGAGACGATTTCTTAATCTGTGTTTTTGACATCATTATTATGTAATTTTTTCGCATAATGATTAATATAAAACCAGCTTTTTATCCCTCATTTTGAAAAAATCTTCTGATTATTTATTTATAAAACCTGCAGCAAGAGTATTTGAAGTGCCAATAGCTTCATGGATAAAGGTCATTTTATCATGCGGTCGAGTATTCGAATCTAGAGCTTAATTTTAATGGTACATGAAATATTACTAAATTAAATAAAATCAACTATAATTTTTTCCAAATAAAAATCGGAAAATTAGAACTGCTTACTCAAAAGGCGTTCCACAGATGGTATACCAAGTTTCACCGTTTTGTGGCTTCTTACCGCCCACGCAATGGAAATCGAAGTACGCCTCGTCGTATTTATCAGGACAAAAGTATTTGGACTTGTACAATGTCTGTGGAAAGTGCATATAAATAAATAAAAAAATATAACAAAATGTAAGTTTTTGATGCTGCTAACATACGTATTACAAAATAAACTACACATGCATTTCTTTTTACTACTACATTGGTATGGTAAAACCATTTATGGACGTATTAAACCAGTACTAATGATCATCATTTAATATACCAAAAAAAATATTCTCACCTGTCCAAAGGCCGTTACCAGACTGGCACGTTCATTGCAAGGACCTACTGGCTCATGCAAACCTTTGGATACTTCCTTCTCAGGGTCGAAGAATACAACAAATATCCAATAAATAGAATAATGGACAGCTAACTGCAGCATAAGTATGTAATCGATCGCCGTTAACCTGAAAGTTCGCAAATATATTTTCGATCGAATGAAGCGAATGAATCGAAAATAAGCAAAGCTCAAATTAATTAACTATTGTAAAAAAAACTGCTTATTTGGTCACTAACCTATTTGGGAACGTTATATAATTTTTTCATACTAAGCGGGACCAAAATGCCATTGGCAACTAAGTGCGTTTCTAAATATTGATTTTAAATTTGATATGTGTATTAGGTCTGCGTGTTTAATGATAATAACACTGTGTCTCAGTAAGGTTAAAACCTAAAACATTTTTTTGCCTACACACGTAAGTTTTAACTAAACATTTGAAGCAGACTGATCAATTAAAACTATGCGGTTAACCCTGAATGTTTTATTTTTTTTTAAATGGATGAATTTTATTATGGCAATTTTATGGACTATCATAATTTGTAAATCAATTATATTATATTGTTTAATTTCTGTTCAATATGTGATAAAGATTAAATTTTTCAATACATTTAAAGTTTCATAGCAAAAAATTTTTCAAAGGGAACTTTATACAGCTGTGTAAATAATGACGTAATACGTGATATTAAGGTCATAGACAATAAAATGATTTTTCGATGTTTTAAAACGCTCTAGAAAGGTGTGACCTATTATTTTCTGGTCTACTCTCGCGATTTCTCTACATTCATCATACATCTTCTCAGAAGTAAATCTACGGCATTCCAAGGTCATCTTTTAGATTGTCACAAATTTAGTCGATGCAAATCATCGTCGAAAACAAATGAAATTCGTTTTAGTAAGAAGATTAATATTGCTTGGAAAGGAATTTCTGTGGAAATTTAGGGAGTAAAGTTTATAAAATATAATATTAGTAAGGTTACTTACTTGTCTGTATTCTCCTTTCGCTTGCTTAAAATTCCGTTGATAACGATAACGCTAAAGATACCAAAAAGAAGGAAGAATGTAACTTCTGAATGTATCTTGTATACATCGTGGAGAGGATGGTAAATTGGTACAAACATTAATACACCGCCCGGCATGCCTAGCAGAGATGATATTAACAAGGACTTCCATTCTGCGGCTTTACTGTAAAATATAAAAATTAATTTAAACGCGAGATATTAAATTCATCATAAGAATATCGCCGTTAACAATCGTAGGCAACAAATAAGTGATCTTAGAAATTTAATTTGAAACCCCAATAGCCAGTAGGTGATTATGAACTCGAATCCTATAATTCCAGTTTTGAATCTAATCCTTCCGCAAACCAAGAGCGATAGTTGGTATGGTTACAAGTAAATTTAGTTAATTAAAAAAAAGTTCAACTTACCCAGCAGATTGCCACTGCTCGACTTTAGGAGCGAACCATTTCCTGCTGACGTGGAAAAAGAAAAAGAAACTCGCAGCAAAAGTAGCGTGAAAGTAATAAGAGTTCCATGGCACCCAGTAGTGTCGGTCAAAGATGTTTGGGTCGGTGTCGTGCCACGTCCAGTGGACAAACTTCACGGCGACTATGTCATACGGTATGTCAACAAGTACAGTCACCAAACCCACAGCGAACGGTTCCGCGTAAAATGGCAAATGGAGTTTTGATAGCGCGTACGCAGCGTGGTATATGAACGCCGGATCTAAAAGTTAAATACATAATTTTAACTTAACCTTAAAGCGATCTAAATGTGCACAAAGTTTAAAAATTGTACAATATTCAGTGGTACAGTAAAGACTTTCTAAAACTATAAGTTAGTATTTATTTTTTTTGACATTGAATCGTAACAAAATATACTTACACAATAAAATAATATGCAATGGTAACCTGGCACCGAGGAATATGATTGGTGTTTGTGAATGCCAGAAATTATCGTATTCTGGTAAAACGAAATGCCAAAAGTTGTCCGTGAACACGCCGTGAAGGACTGTGCCTAGCCAGAAATACGGCCATCGTCCACCCTTACTGAATGCTACAAAAATAAACCCATTTCAGCTTATTAATTTATCTTTAAAAAATTATCTGATGTTGCGATAGATCGCCATACGTTTTATTTCTATTACATTGAGAATTTCAATAATTATAAGTGTGAGAGTTATAGCAGACAAAAAAAAATCGATAAAGTATTATAGTACTGTCCTTAAAAATAATTTCGGATTGTTTCTTCGATTTTTTTCTTTTCTACGTCTGTCTATTATTTTAAAGAAGTTAATATAATGATAAGGATTAAAATGGAAGAGACTCAAAAACATTTAAATTTATGTAATATTCGCGTTTTTGAAATGAATAAAATTTCTTTAGAATCAAACCAGTTTTTCAACTTAGACAAAGATAATGTGCTAGAAATTCGATTAACTTTTGCATCGTAACTTACCATGAATTAAGGTAATAAGACCTGCTATGATATAGACCGTTTGAGATATTATATACGTAGGTTGCGCCGCCCATAATTCACTCAAATTATTTGTTTGTACTATCCACTGCAAATTAACATTTAGAAAAAAAAATTACAAGAATGCTGTATACTTTAGTAAGTTTAAAACTTAAATGGGATTTTTTTTATAAATTTCGAATAACCTCGTTTAAAAATCTCTCGAGAAAACAATATCATTATTAAAAGAGTGTAAAACAGTCGCATAGCAAATGATATCAATGTTGTTCACAGGTGGGCGAAGTAACACGTGGAATTATTAGTCAATTAAATGTCCTATGTAATATAATTTTGAGTGTTAATTTTTTTATCAATAAAATAATCTTTACCGATAATTTCTGTTGATATAAGTAATTCGCACAGCAATACAAAAAACAACTAATTGCAAAAAAAACCTTATTGTCTTTTCTTAATAGTTTTTTTAGATTTTATTTTTACTAAATAAAAAATATCTGATGTAATAAACGTATAATACATTTTCATTGAAAGAAACATTATAAGGTTAAAATTATGCAAATGTTTTAATAATAATCATTTTAATCGTACCTCGGTGATACTGTTTGCCATGTTGAACCGGCAGAACGACTTGCTATCAACTCGACTACTACAACAATGTAATGCAAAATGTAAAGTTGTAACAAATGATGTGTTAATACGTCAGTGATCAGTGTATGCTTATCTTAACAATTTGTATGCTTTATAGTAACGTTCTTTTTATTATATTTATCGATTTTTTTAAATTAAATATTAATATTATACCGGCCTACGAGTATTAATTTCGATAAGGAAAGACCTTGAGACCTTGACTTGTCATTTCATAAAAGCAGTTTGCAAGTAGAATAATTTTAAATTCTTATTATTTGGATATTTTAAACTGAACCTTTAGTGATCCAGTTATTTTGCTTAGTACCAATGAAATTTCTAGCGGTTGTTAGTAACTCTCGTTCTTTTTACCAAAATTGCACTCTAGCAAGCCCAAACAGTCCTATTGTTCTATTGTACCGGATTAATGTAAACCAGGTATATTAAACAAATGCTTGATCGTATTCGTAAAATTGAAATTTCGCGTCTATTTCTTACATTTTAAGTGTCATTGATTACGAAACTATGCAAATGCCTAACGAAATTAACACAGTAGTTTAAGATGTTGAGATAAATCTCAAGCTCAGTGATTTTTTATTTTATTGAGTGGTAAGAAACATGCGAAAAAAATTGTAATCAAAGAAAACAATAAAATATTTTGGTTTTCGATAGACCAAAATTAATTTGGTTATTGTTGCTATTTTATCTGTAACAAATAAGGTTATTTAAAGGTTGGTTAATTGGTCTATGCTATATGTCAGAATCATATGTCGTTTTCTTTGTACTGTATTATCTATGGTTTGATCGTTGTTGTCAAGTTGTACTGCAGCGGCTTTTTAGGCTAAAAAACTGTGATATAATCCGCAATAATAAAGCAATATTTTTTGAATTTATGATTAAGTAATTCACATTTTTATGATAAATTGAATTGTTATCAATCTAAAATGCTTAATACTGTATACAAAATATCGCAAGGCATTAGGAAATTGAGCCAGTTGAGTTATAGAAGTGTGGTAATAAAATTTGTGAGACCTAATACAACTTACACAAATGTATTTAGGTCACAAAAACAGAAGAAAGAAGAAGGTGGAGAAGCTATAAAATGGATTCTACTGGTACAAATATAAATTTTCCTTAAATGGATTCTTTTAAGTTATTTCAAAAACTTTGTAGGTAATCAAAAATAAGTTGCCAAACTTTTTTTTGTATTGTTATTTATGTTTTTGCGAAAATAAAGTAGTGACAATATAAATATTTTTATTTTACTTTTTAAGATTATATAACACATGAATGATTGACCAAGATCAATAATAAAACTAGTATGAAGTACTCTAAGAAAATTTAACCTATAAGTAAAAAGTTAACGCAAAAGAATTTTAACACTAATATTAATATTTTAAATGACTCCAGATGATTCCTGTGACATCATTTGGTCTTGGTTGCTGGCAAGTATATCGACTACAGTGGAAGTTAGAACTAATTGACATGTTGCAAGCCAAGTCTAATTCGGAGCCCATAGACATGCCAACCAAGTAAGATCCATTATAAATATTTATTTACATATATATTAATATTTCATGCATATATTGGATATTAGCATATACATAGATTAATATTCTGTCTGCCGTATGCACTGTTCCGAACCCTAAATTGTGTGATTTTACCTAGGATAGAAGTTTCTGAGCTTAATATGAAAATAATTTGATTAATTTATTGATCATTCTAACAAATTTTTACACAATGATGTATAAGACAAAATGATTTTATTCCAGCTTTGAAGAACTTAACAATTTGGAGTTCCGTCCAGTTAAAGTGCGGGGAGAATTCTTGCATGACAGAGAGATTATGATTGGACCCAGAGCACTGATTGAAGAACATCAGGCAATGCCTAGAACTGGATCTCTTATGTCAGATCCCAAGAAGAATCAAGGATGGTTATTAATAACTCCATTTAAAATAAGTGACACAGGGTAAGGCATATAAATTCATTTTTAATAACAGCCTCATATTATAGAGTTAGTGGTTCTCTACTTTATACCAGAGCATATACAAATAATGTATTATCAATCTTTATTTGCTATTCTAGACTACATTTAACAAACATTTTACTTTAAAATAAACAAATCTAAGTTTGAAAATAGCACTTGTAAGTGTATGGGTGTTTGGGTTAGGTGTGACTGGGCAGAAAGGAGTGCCACAGATCTGTGAATAGAATCTTAAATAGAAATTTACCATGGTGCTAGTAAACTGTTAGTGGGTAAGCAGCACCTTTTAACCAAAATTCTAATTATTTTTTGATGTAATTGATTACTTTTTATATTAAGCTATTAATCACTTGCGGAGTATATGAAATGATCTTTATATTGATGTTCAGGATCGTTTTTAGTTAAAACATTCTTGTATTAAATACAACTTTTCAGGGATGTTATATTAGTGAACAGAGGTTGGATACCTAAAAGCCTCAGACCCAAAGATAAGCGTCAATCTTCCATGGTGGAGGGTGAGGTGGAACTAACTGGAGTGGTGCGTTTGACAGAAAATCGTCGCCCGTTCATGCCGAAAAACCATCCGGAAAAAGGATCTTGGTTTTATAGGTGAGAATACAAATTAATAACATTCTTTTTATTTCTACAGCTTCCTTCGCAGTAAAATGTATCATATGGCATACCGCTCCAAGTGGACAGTAAAAATCAATGTTTCTGATTTAAGAAATATTTGACTATGTTCTACCTATACAAGTACTAGATACATGTATTAAATATTTGTTAATATAGTGACTGGTTGAAGAATTAAGGGACTTCGAAATTTTTACAAACTGTGACATGTGTGGGTGGAACATGTGGTTCTTCAAAGTCGATTATCAAGTCATTGCATTATAGATTTGAATGATTTAACCACTGGATTTATTACTTCTTAATGGCCTTTTTAAATTGCATTTTTGAATATGAAAAAAGTCAAATAATTTTTTAGACTCAGTCCATTTCGATGTTTTTCATTTTTTCATGAAGATATCTAATATTTTATAATATTATACATGCTTGCGAAGTTTTATAATGGGCGTGGATCAGAATTACGCCACGCCTATTATAAAACTTTGCAAATAAGTTTTATATAATATTGAGTATTGTGTGAAGTAGACTAAGTTTGAGAAAATCAAAGTTAAAAAAATAAGAGTTGAAAATGTACGAAAAAAATTTTTTTTCGTATTAAAAAATGCAATTTTAAGGCCCATTTATTGTTGAAGTAATAAATTCAGTCGTTAAATTATTCAAATCTATGACGACTTGATAATCGACTTTGAAGTATCGCATGTCCCTTAATTATTTGACCAGCCACTATATTAAAAAAAAATTGATAAAGGTATCTGGGACATGTATAAGTAGAACATACTCAAATATTTCTTAAATCAGAAACATCGACTTTTCTTTTACTGTCTTCTTGGCGAAGAATGCCCCAAATGTAAATTTTTGTCGGATCTTCTGAATGGCTGGACCGATTTTGACTAGAAGGTAGCTGACATATACAGGAGTAACTTAGGCTATTTTTTTACTATGATGAAGTAGTCTCCGATGACAGCTAGTTATTTAAAAGTTTATTAATTTGTCAGGGATTTACATCAAATGAGCGCTCATTTGAATTGTTCTCCGGTGTGGTTGGACGCGAGGGGGATCCCTGACCCTCCCGAAGGCTGGCCAATTCCCAACCAAACTCGAGTTACGATCCGCAACGAGCATTTATCTTACCTCATAACTTGGTACTCTTTATCTGCGCTCACAGCAATTATGTGGCACAGATATTTTATCAGAAAGTTACCACTACTATAAATGTGAGAAAATATAGTAGGAATAGTTTTGTTGAATATATTAGTGAAGTAAATACGATAAGCAATACACATACATATGTTCATTATTCTTATATATTTAAAATAATTTAAATTTTTTATTATCTTTATAGCTTGTTGCGATTAATAATAAAAGAGTAGTTTTGAAATTGATTGTTTTATTTACACACTGTTTTTTACTAATATTATAGATAAGAAAGTTTGAATCTTTGAATGGATATTTGTTACTTTCAGAAGGGCGAAACGAATCTCTTTAAAATTTGGCATAGATATACAAGATACTGGAAGAATACATAGGTACCTAATATAGTTTTTTTTTTATTTTCCCCGGGGATGGAGTCGCGGGTGACAGCTATTTTGTTGGTAAAGTTTTTTTTTATAATTCGTGTAACAAATGATTACAAGGAATTAAATGAAACACATAAATTTGACACAGATTATAATATAGACACCAATAACATGTATTATGAAATTTGAGGACAATAGAGATTAGGAAAATATATTAATTGAGATCTGTAACTTGACTGTTAACTTATGAATTATATTTTTGATAATTTAAATTAGTGCAACAAAAAATTGATAAAAAAGATATCCCAGTCTCAATGTTATGTTACCTGCAATTTTTTTTTAGTTGATTTTGGAAATAAATCAAAGTCTATCAGAACATTCATGTGTGAATATCATAAATAACAAATTATGGAGAAATCAATATAATTTAAAATCCCCCCAATTAACAAGTAATTATAACGAACCACTGATTTCTAAACAAATCAAAACAATGGTAAGGTGCATCACAGAAAGTTTCTACGAATTAATGGCCTTTTACAATTTATTAAAGCAATTTTTTTTCTTCATAATTTCAACAAAACTTAATTTAACAGTTGAATAAATAATTTTTAAATAATAGTTAATACTTAGTGTTTTTTTCTATTCAATATATCAAACATAGGAGCTTAATGTATCCAGTCTTCTCGCATTCCCCCAGAAATTGGGCAGATCTAATGTTCTAAAATTATTTGTATTTATTATCTGCCATAACAATTTGTTTGTTGTTTAACATTTCTCTTCCACACCAATATATTAAAAGTACTAAAGAAATATCTAAAATAAAAAATAATTTCTTTTGTATTGAACCCTTACATTTGATTAAATTCGAATTACCTAATATTTTCAAAATTAATTTGCTCCAATAAAATGCAAAAGGTCTGAGGTCGACTATAGAAGAATAACATTTAGACATTTATATTTGAAACACTTATAACTACATAATAAATTTGCCAACTTGCTTAATTTTAAAAAAATCTATTACACGATTTACATATAATTTATATATATTTTACTTGAGAAAGATACTTTTTTTATTAATAAAAAAGAAAATTATATATAATGTGTAAAGACCAGAATATAGCATCGAAAATAAATTGTATAAAATAATTACCTTTTTTTATGTAAATAGCAAAGTTGGCAAATAATATTTAAATAACACCTGTCAAATTTTAAGTAAATATATGTTCATATAACTAACACTGTTGACCTATTAAGGGGATGGTAAGTGTAGCAAGAAATTTCAATAAATAAGGAAAAAAAATTACAGATATGTTTATCCGTGGAAGAACTAGAAATTTTCGAATAGATGTTTTACATGTGAGAACCCAAGGGTACATTTAAAATAAGTAACAAATGAAACATAATACTGTTCTATACATCATGTTCTAAATTATGTTTACTATTAATATATGAACTTTTATTTAAATCAAAATCTGACAGTTGTTATTTTCCTACATCTATATGACACAAGGTCAAAATTAATGGTAGTTTCAATTTACGATTATTAGTAAATGTGATATACAATTTCAGATGTGAATTAAAATTGAATCATTTATCTATGAAACTACTGATGAACTGTAATATAACCTACATACATAGGCCTAGAGGCCAGAATATGCCAGCTGATAAAAACGGAAAAATTAAAAAAATCAACCTGTATAATCAAAAAAGGATATCTGAACTGGTGAGAGCGCTGCTGTCGTTCTAGGTTTTGTCAGAACATATATAAAATCTACGTAGACATAGAAAATGACTACAGACATGGAATGAATGAAGGGCGCTAGTGAGCTGTTATTTAGTTTCACTTATGTCCACCGGTTCAGTTACTCTGTTAATAAATAAGTACAAAACAGCTTTTTGACACATTGTCGGTTTCCAAAATATGCATTTCGGAAACACGCACAGTGCATTTGAGCTTAAAAAAATGAAAAACTTAAAAAAATATTGTAGACAAAATAAAAAATTGTACGAATAAAAATTCAAATCCAAATGAAAATTAGAAAAAAATGTTAGTTTTGTATCTATCATATCAATTGTTCTGACAAGAATTATGTCAGATAATTGTATTTATAATTTTAGGCAAGTCTCACTTACCCTTTCCCGCGTATTTATCCAAAGTATTGCAATCTACAATAAACTATTCAGCTTAGCTTCATAAATTGCACCCAAACACCAATCAATGTTACACAAGTTAAGTTTTACTTTCTCTTAAATTAAACGAAAAAAAATTAAAAAAAAAACATATTAAGGTAACAGGCAATCTAAATATTGAAACAATAGATCCATCGGTTACCGAAATATGAAAGAACGTAATATTCAGAGAACTGACAATCCATTTTTAATTTAAAAGTTAAATGATGACAAATTATGGATCATCAGGTACCAGAATATTTGAGATTTCAGAGGTTTCGAATTTTAACTATGCGCCCCCGTTGAGCCGTCTCACCAATACTGATAAGGGGTGTAACTAAAACTATTCAAATTTTGATGTCCATTGTCTGTTTTTTTTAATTATAACTGTTATTTATTTGGTTTATAATATTTGATGCTGTGCTGAGTTTTTAATTTCATTGTAATGTTTTTAAGTATTGCCCGAAACCAATGTATATGTATGAATTTAGAATAAGCAAGAAAAGTTTGTCAGGTCTGCGTCAAATTGAAGTCTGTGGTGTCTGCCTACCCCTCTGAGTTACGGGCATAAGTTGTTGTTGTAATATTTTTAAAAACAAATTGCATGATGATAGTATATTTCAATTAATTCGAAGTTTTGTTAGTATTGAATAATTTAATTAATTTAGTTATTTTGGAGAAAAAATAATCCTATTACAGATGTTTTTATTTGTGTTGTTCTCATGTTATATTAGTTACATCCCTTAATGGGTATTATAACTCCTTATTGGTGACGCGGACACACAGATGGTTAAATTTAAAAAAGATATTTAAGCGCGCAAATCAAAATTCGATACGTGAATCTGAGGCACGTGCACAGGATCGATCTTAGGGTTAGAGTTGAACTCGCACAGGCCAAAATCTTTCAGTTTCCACTCCCATTCCATTATTTGTGAGGCGTGCAGTGTTTCTGCCTCCATGTTCTGACGACGTAGCATTACTTCCTGTCGAACAAAAAAAATTCTTTATTAATATAATAAGTACGAAAGATTTGATTGTCTGTTTGCATTGAATAAGCTTTACACAACTGAAGCAATTTAAAAAATTCTATCACTGTTTGGCTACACTATCCTCGGGGGACTAATCCAAGGCAAATTAACTATGACAATTGGTATATTTAAAAAATAAAGATACAACCTTCTTTTTGTAGTCGGTTAAGAAACTTACTTTAATCTTCTCCCATTTATCATCGACCTCCTGCAGCCAGGAGTTGATCTGGCGGCCGTTGCATCTGGAGCGCTGGGCGTTGCGTTTCTCCTCTTGTTCTGGAGCCAGCAGATTGCACACCTCCTTGTCACGGAGTACTGTGCATACTGAATACGGCAGAGCCTGGAAATTAGTTACAAATACAATAAGTCATTATTGTCATACTACTAACAAGAAGTCAGGTAGAAAAACCTGTATATAGGTTCATTATATTTGGAAAATGATTTTACCTGGTTGGCAACAGCGCGTTCAGCACGGCCATGCACTCTCAATATCTCTTGTTCAACGGACAACACCAACTTTTCTTTCTCAACAAGATGCTGCATACGCAAGTGTGTCCTGTTTAAAAGAAAAAAATAGGAATAAAAATTTGGTCTTATTTAGTTTCATTTGTACATTCCGGGCCAAATAAGTTCCACTTTAAATATTAACTTCAGTATTGGACTTATATCCGAGACTAATTGTTGGTTTCTGAAAACAAAACCCCTAAAAACATACTGTTACTTTGTTTTGTAAAAGATAATGACTGATGACAATTTACCTTGCTTGTTCCTGTCGTTTGAATTCCTCAACCATCAGCGGTGCGAGATTGGGCGGAATCTCGATAGCTGGAGGGTTGACATTCCCTTGCAGCGTGTAGGTGCAGCGGTTCATCAGATACTTGTGGAAGTCCTTCGGTGGCTTCGGCTTTACTGGGAACAGGCTCTTTTGACGTTCCTCTACCTAAATATTGAGGAAGAATTTAAATACATTCTTGTTTTAGATGTTTATTAAAAAAATACGCAATTATTATACACCGTCCAATGTTTATCTTTTCTATTATTAATTAACTGCTTTACTAATTTGATTACTATTTAGAAATATGGGTACTTTTTTATTAAGAGTAGGGGGCAAGCGAGAAACGGGAACACCGAAGTGTATTTGGCGCCCATGGACATCTGCAAGACTAGATTTATTTTATTTATTAAGCAATTGGTTTTATTTTAATTATTTTTAATCAAAAAATTACATCTTGTGTCGATTTGATTTTATTATTGTTTTTATTTAAATTAGCCTGCCTTTGTTTCATTTGTCTGCATGTGTCAAAAGGTAATTAAAACTTTGGACAGAGGATAATAATCTGGTACATACATAGCATAAAATTAAGAATTAAAAAAGCCAGCTTTATAATGTATACATACACATAGTAATACATAGCCTTATTACTAAGGCCTGGATGAGCGTATATTTAATATAAGCTAATCTAAGAATTTTAAATTTAGCTTTAATAGAAAAAAAAATTGCAATCTATAAAATATGCAATATAAATAGAATAAATTATATCTAAATAAACATACGTTTTAATGAATAAAAAGAAGTTTTATTAAACCAGGCCCCAATAATTACGACTTCAATTAATATTCGCAGTTCAACTTCAACAAAGTTTAAAAAAAAAACTCCAAATAAACATAAATACAGTTACAACAACAAACAAATGCGACATATTAATATATAAATTTCATACGAAAATACTCGCTCCTTTATTTTATATTAGTCTAAATGATACCTGTTTACGGATCTGTAAATGCATCTGGTAAGGGTTGGAGTGAGTGACCGCGTGTACGAGGCTGGTATCCTGGGTAGACTCGTGTCTCGACTCCCGGTGGCTGTCCTTAGATGTTTTGATCTTACGCTTCCTCGGGTGCAATTCTACAAAACAACCAATCGCATTACACATTATTTGTTTGAATCTTTCAGGGCGCATGGCGCGCTCTCATTAAAATGTCAATGGTCAAAATGATTAGTGAGGGGACATAAACGTCGACATTTTAGTAGGGCTAGTTTTGCGCCAGTACACCGGCACACTGTCGGATTTTCTTTCTTACACTATATAATATTACTGATATTTAATAAAGAAACAAACTATTTTTGTAAGAAAAGCGTTTTAGGTAAAAAAAATCATACCTGATGTGTCGCGACTGGAATGATGGTCGTGATGATCCTGGAAATGTTTTTTGCTCTACTCGGGTTAGTTGTACTTTTCACAGCGGTTTGATCAGATTAACAATATTTCTTACTATTTGTATGCCTAGTACGAATATTTGTGAGAACATTTTCGTAACGTCATCATAATTTTTGAATGTCATACAAATTTTGACATATTTTATCGACGTTACGAAGGCGCTTGTCGCAAATATTCGTGCTTGGCCCTTTGAAGGAAAGTATTTCATATCTCTCGTAAGATATGAATCTCTTTTCGTTGGATTTCGAATCTTCTATAGCTTAATGGTGAGTTTGTAATGTCTAAAAAACTGTTTACATATATTGATTTTCCTTTTTTTTGTCAAAGAAGGAGGAATGATGTTGATGTATGTTGTGTTATATATAATTGTTATTATTGTTAAGTTTGATTGATGATTATAATATATACTTACAGATCCTTGCGGCGGGCTCTTATTTAGACTGAGAGCTTGTCCCCTGGTTTCAGCGCCAGTATGCGGTGATGTTCTACCCTTATCCTTGTCATCATTGGTCCTGTGCGAGCGCAGTACTCGCTGACCCGTCTATGGAATAAAAATATATTGTTAAAACAAATTTCGTAACCATTTAGTCTTAAATTACAAAAGGGTCTTCTTCTTCGTATACTACATTACTGAAGGTCCTGCTTGTGATATGCATTTAGAAATGCGTCGACCAGTCTCGACGCCGTCCCGTCTTCGGCTTCTCTCAGGGCAATCGTGAAATATAACCTGTACTTGATCTGACCAGCAATCGATTGACCCCGTGACCTTTTACCCTTAATCATTCCAACTACGAACAATTTGTCCAGGTTGTCGGTGTGTCTCTGGGTGAATGGGTAATATTGTCTTTATTTAAAAAAAGAAGTCCTACCTTTCCACATTCACTGAGTCTTTTATCATCGCTGTTGCCATCAGAGCTGTCAGATGTTTGTCCGGCATCGGTGGTGGTGCAAGGGATGACGTAGGGCAACGTCCCGCCCCCACGACCCTTGCCGCTGCCCCTTTGACCTGTACCACCTGGAAAAATAGCTCACATTACATTTCACTTACACTTAGTACTCTTAGCCGGAATACTCCGGGCATGTTTATTATCGAGCGTCTTAAGTTAGCTAAACTCAGCTTAGAAATTAAATATTATAAATGCGAAATTTGTATGGATGGATGTTTGTTAGAAACTATCCCCAGTACGGCTGAAAAGAGCCCGCTGAAATTTGACATAAAAGTAGAAAGTAGTCAGGAAGAACGCATAGGCTATTAATTAAGAGCTTTTTTTTCTATTGCGCGCTAAAGGAGTCGCAGACAAGAGCTGATAGACGTTAAAAAAATCTGATGAATATAGTTGTTGTGAGGTGTAACGTACCTTCTTCTTGTTCATTCCGACCACCCGAGCCGCCGGCGCCTCCCGGGATGACGATCTTGAGCGGCGGCACCTTGGGACCAGACTCCGACTTCACTTCTTCGGTATCTCCATCACCGGCATCTTTAGATTGACTCGACTTCTGGCTTTGCACCGGACTCTTCCTATCCTGTTTGCTCTGGGACTGCGATTTCCCTCCTTTCTGTTAAAACATAGATTCAGACATTAAATCAATAGTTTTTATAACACTGGCAGTAGTGACAAAAATAAAATAAAAAAATCTTCTCTCGTGTGAAATCAAAATAAAACGTTTTGTTTGTATTTTACTTGATGCAGTTGATTGTTTACTTTTCCTCCGGCGCCCTTTCCGGATTGTGTCTTGGAGGAGCCCTTGCCGCCGCTCTTGCCCAGCGGCGCGGCGCCCGTCTTGCTGGCCGGTCCGGGCGGCTTGGTGCCACTCGGAGCACTACAACATTGTACATTTACAACCAAACAGAACAATTACACTGACTTTTTTTCGCGAAAAGGGTCTTAAATATAAACAAGTGTTTATTTTATAATACATTAGAAATTTGATCCAATCTCATCTTCGGGTATGTAAGCAGATCAAAATAATTTAGTGGATTTTCAAAGTCTGTAAACATTGTTAGATTTAATTATGTCGTAAAATATTTACCGTCCGGGACCACTGCGCGCTGTGGCGACGGGTTTCGCCATGGGCTCCTTGTCTTCTGCTTCCTTTTTCTTCTTCTTCTTGGTGATGTCATCGTCGGTGGTCTCGGTGCTCAACTGCCCGTCAGTGTAGTTCCGTTTAGGGCCAGATGTAGACTCATTATCATTAGTCACCTGGGTTTTTTCTGAAATTATTTGATTATATTAATAGGAATATAATAAGATAATGGATATTGAAAGCTTTAAGATTAACATTGAAAGTAATGTAAAACATATTACCATACAGGAAATCACAATTCTTGTTTATCTATTTAGCCAACAGCTCAGCTTTGTCAAAGCTAATTTTCAGCGCGAAATTAGCCCTTACTAGTTTTTCTTTTTGCGAATTAATTTCGATATAAGAAAAACTAGTAAGTACATGAGAGATGAGGTACGGATACACGGAACAAAACAAACACGATTATTAAAATGATCTCACAGCCGATGTTGTTGTTCTTGGTGTTTCCACAGCAGAAACACATGAACAAAAACATTATCTCTGTTTTTCAAAGAGAAGGCTTAAAACATGTTTTTGTGCTTGTGTTTCAGCAATGAAAACCCATGGTCAGATGCAATGGTATGTTTGTCACTGGCGCGCACACAAAACATCTTGATGCAAACAATGAAATGATCCTTGGTTACCTGATGAGCAAGTTATCGAATAAATAAAACATACGAGCTTGTAAACTATAAGAAAAATATAAATTAAATCCTTGACACTTTCTAATTTATTATTGGAAACGTAACGTTATCGACATTTTAATTTTTCAATCTATATAAATAAATACCATAAAATTATTAAATGTTTTACGTAATATTTACCTAAATAAACGTATTCAATGTTTTAGTTAAACATATTTCGCAACAGTCAATTATATTTTAAAAATAAATCAAGAAAATTATATAATAAAAAAAAATAGCAATAAAACTAAAAGAGAACAAATATTGTGAATATTTTGCAAGGCGTACCATATTTTTAACATTAGGATAATTATTTAAAACTTACCTTTTCCCAATACGTTATCACAGTGAAACAATTATTACAACAATCATTAATTATTATTTTATAATGGTAAATATTACCTCTGGTGCGTGACCGCGTTTTGGTTTTACGCATTATAAAACCAAACTATAACTTTTTTTTAGAATAATGGATTACTTGGAATCGTAACTAGGACACATTGTTTAGTTATCGTATAAACAAACCACTAAGCCTATGAGGCAAACAAACACGAAAAAACTAACTTTCGACCATCAAATATGTAAAACACAATTTTATAACACGTCTACTAAATTTAAATTGATTTATATTAATTTAATAGCGTATATTGAGCAATGTTTAAATAAAACGGTCATTGTATTGACGCCGGGAACATAAATATAACGAGTGATGGCCCCGTGCAGCGCACCGTATTGATTTTCTTCCCGGCGCAACTCCCCGACAATCTACATACATATACCTGTATAGGTACCTCTCTACCTCTCTTTCATGCCTAACATTTTCGTACCGTAACATTATGTAACAATTATATATCACAATTAAGACTTAATAATAAACATTAATTAAGATACACTAAATTTAATCAAACTAAATCTTTATCGATTGAATTTTTATGTAAATAAAAAAATCACGACTAAAATTTACGCACTACGTTAATATTATTACGATACGAATGTATTTATTTCAATGTAAAAAATATTTTAATAAGACCTCGTAATTCTAAAACCACTTGGTGAAAGGTACGCGCGGTAACTAAATCAAAATAGATCATTTCATCGTTTAAATCAATAGACCGAATGAACGAAGTATTACCCAATCCAGCTCTAACTTACAAATTATCAAAATGTTATTTATTCTTAAAATATAAACATAATATCGTTTATAAATATTGGAATTTTACAATGTCAAATCAATTACAATATTTCGCAAATATATATAGAACTTTTGCAGATCACATTCAATTTTTAAGTTTAAAAATGTTTCAAAAACATAGGAAAAAGTTTTGCAAAAAAGCAATTAAGATATTTGAAAACGGGATTTGATTTGCAAAAATATCTTTTAATTTGATAAAGCCGTAATTTAAAGCTAAAAACATATTGAAGCGCGAATTAGTATTATTAGCATAGGGTTTTCAGGATACAAAATTTTATTATAACCTTAAAAATGGCGTATGTAAAGTATATTACGACGAATATAGATAAAAAAACATATAATAAAAACGTCTTTATTTACATATTAAAGAAGTTACACAAATATAAATGTAATGTGGGTGTCTTAAGGAGAAATTACACACGATGACACTGTAATCAGTAAAACACATATAGAAAATGTAGTAAAACGAAAAAAATATTGATATTATTAAGTTATAATTAATTTTAAAATAATTCTAATCTGAATTATTTATTTATTGCTCAATATTTATTTGTTGTATGTATAATTCATTTTAACTCTACAGTAGGGGTAAAACAGTGCATTTTTAAATCTAAAATTAAGAAATATATTTTTAATTTTTTTTTGTCAATTGCTTGCCTGCAAAAAGTCTTGAGATCTTTGACTAATTTTTCTAATACTTTAAAGATTTCTTTTGTAATCTTTACTGTTAGATCACAAGCTACCTTTATATTATTTTAAAAATTAAGGCTTGAAGAAACTTTATGTTATTACTATCATATTATTCTACTGGAAAAATTTTAAATGAAGTATAACACTTTTTATTTTACTCCAGCACAATTTTTTTAAGGAGTAATTTAGTTTACAGCAGATTTGTATTAAAAATAGCAAAATAAATTATAATTGAAGTTGCCTTTAACTATGAAAATTAATTTAAGCAATTCATACACTTTAACATATGACAACTAGTCCTTTATAAATTCTTCAGTCATTTGTGTCTAATAATTAGGTGTAATCTATATCAATAATATGACTTTGTTCTTAAAATTTTACCTAGCAAATTATTTTCATTACTGTAGGGTATTTTTAAATAAATAAGTATAAGTAGTTGAGTATTAATAATTAATCCTGTATTAGTAATACATTATATAATTTTTTTCTAGGAAGTCAACATACAAGGCTGCCATTGTGTCAAGTTACTTTGGACAAAAGTGATAAACTTAAGGCAAAAGTTTAGTTAATTTTTTAATTAATGTATTTTTTAATTTTTATGAATGAAATAATACAGTTATAAAAACATACCTTCAACATTATTGACTTTTTCTTGAGTAACCTCCTTACTATCAAAGTGATCAGTCGATGCTAGCCCTTCCATAATGCCTTTTTGTCACGTAAGTTGTTCTGAATATCCCTCTCAGAATTTGTGATGCAGTTCATCCCTTGTACATCCAACGTGAGAAGTTTTTGGGTGATCTGTATTAAAAAGATTTGCACTTGTTAATTTAATTAAATTAATAATTAGTTAATTAAAAAAAGTAATTAATTTAACAAAACCATTATTAAGACTACTGTACTAATTACATCAAAATAATGTTATTACATACAAATAAATAAATGAACATGTAAAAAGAAAAAAAATACCACGTGAAAATTATTATTTTTGAACTCTTTACTATAGTTGAACTTTACTTACGCGTTTAAACTTTTCAGAAATCACTCTGCCCTTTTTTCTTTCGAATAACAGGATTATGTCACACAATATCTTGAATAAATACGCAAAAAGGAACGGCTTGATAAAATATTCAAGCGTGATTAAATTATGAAAACCACTAACAGAAAAGATAACTATGTCGACAAACAACTATATTCGAAACCGATATCTACACCGGCTACAGTAATAACTATCAAACAACGTATCAATGGAAATAGATTAATTTTCCTAAATATGAATCCATTTCCTAAGGTGTAAGTCAGTAATCCACTAATGTAACTACACTTAACTTTAGAACTCTACACAAGTATAAACACAGTAACCAACGCTATTGGTAGAATTTACGAGTTGCGCGTTTGAAAGCATGCGGTATAATTTGGCTTCTGTTTTTTCTGAGTAAGTCTTAACAGTGTAACTTCACCTTTACTTCCGACATATCGAACACTGAACTGACACTTAACCAAACCACACGCAATGCGGTACTAAGCAGAGTATATAATAACTATACTACTAATACTACTACTCATTTTTGGTACCGTTACTAATCTAATTATAAGTAAACACTGAGTAAAGTGCCAAGAACATATAAAATACCCAAATCTGGTTATAAAATTGCCGCATTTCGTTCCTATCACTAAATTGTATAAGCTGTCACAAAAAAATACGTTTCTTACTTACTGGCAACATGTAATTCTTATTGCTAAAAAAATAGTAAGGTGATTTTAAAAAATGTTACGATAATTTCTTCGCTTCTTAATAATTTTTAATAATACTGTTTAAATTTATTTCTAGAAATTAGAAGGTGCCATATTATTTTATAAAATAAATGCTTAAATAATATCAAAAAATAAACAAAAAATACACAAATTAAGCAATTTAATGGAAATTAACTTTCGAGAACTTTCTAGTATCTCTAGCAACACCAAATGGGTTGCCATCAGTCTTGGAAGACTCAACTCAACTTTGATGAACTGCAGTTCACACGTGTGAAGTAGATCAATGAACCGAAGCTCATGCATAGTTATAATTTGCGTCTCGAGTTGCGATCTGTGAGTCAACGGGCTTACGGTTAGTCAGCTGACATAGTTATAGTATATCGCAATGAGCTGTCAATTTAGTTTTTTAGCTGAAGCTCAACATAGTTGTTTTCTACTTTGATGGTAATAGTTACTATCGCATATTTTTTTTCGACTCTTATTTTTATAGTAAATATAGTTTATCTATTTAAGGATGATTAATTTGACAATTCAATAGATTTCAGTCGAGTAAAATCGGTTATGAAACTTTTCGATTTCCGGTTGTTGTTTTCAAAATTATGAAATTGATTATTTCGACTTTATTGTTTTAGAATTAAAATATAAATAATAATGTTTCTTTCTATTCTCGATCCATTCTTTAAAATTATAATGAAGAAATAAATATTTAACCTGAAATTGAATATACTCAACAGAATAGAAAACGTAAAGGTTGCCAACTTTCACAACTGCGCAACTTTGGGGTTGCCTGGTGAGTAAATATTACACTCATCAGTTATTTATTAGAAAAAAAAAACAAATAAAAGTTTAATTTAACTGTATAAGGTTGCCTTATTAATAAAATGATCTAGTTCAGGGTTTTCTAGGTAATGTATGTAAATTTTAAATGCGAGTAGTAAACGTGATTTTTTAAGGATATAGTGTTTTTGGTTATTTAGAGTCTTATATTATTGATTGGGTTTGATATTTTTTCGAAATTTCCAATGAGTGTAACATTTACTTTCATCTTATATACCAGGCAACCCCATAGCTGCCCTGATTATCTAAATTTAATGAAGAATTTATTATTTTTTACTAACCGGTCGCAATTTAATTAGGCAACTATCTGCAATATTATAATGTGAATATTATATGTAATTTATTTCTTATCACTCATAAAAAAACAGATGAGGTTATATAATTCCCATATCGGATCTTGCACTATAAGTCAACCGTCCATTAAGTACGATATTAACCTTATACAAAATTAATTCGATACTTAATAGGCGTCAGTAGTCACACTTATCATCCTTAAATAGACAAATTATGGCTTTCAAAATAATAAGGAAAAGATTTTAAAAAACATTGAAATTTATATTTTAAGAGCAGCGTTCACTGACTAAGTTATAAAATTGACAGGTATTCTTTGGCCTTGAGGAAAATAATATGCAATTATTTGGATACTCACATAATATTACGTACCATGATCCGCGCGCTATCAGCGGTACCAAGGTCCAAAAATTGTGACCGGTCTTAGGGTCGATTATTCTTTTCCTAAGGTATTCTAGAAAGATTCTTTACATAGCTCGAAGAAAATACGTAAACATAATTTTAAAAAAAAATTTCAAAAAATTTTCAAAAAAAACCTGTGTAATCACCATAAAAAAAAGTGCTAGCTTACATCAACAGATGGCATTTAAGTGAACTTTTGATCTAACAAACATACTTGATCCGTTAAGGCGCTACCATCGCGGATAGTTTGTCCAAAAACATATATAAAATCCTCTTAGGCATAAAAATGAATACAAGAAAAAAGTATGCCAATTAAGTTACAATGCAACAAGGATCTGTTAAAACATTTTTTAACATTAACAGGGGGTTGCCAATAAGCTATTATAATTTAGTGTCGCTTAGTGGCCACCAGAACAAGTAAGTTTGTCGATCAACATAACAAATGAAATACATCAACATGACAACTTATGACAACGTTTGTGTGATAAATTACAATATCAAGTTTGTATACTACTATAGACTTTTTATAAAAACAAGTGAGTCAGTGATAAGTTACAAAAACAAATTGTTATTGTAATTTATCAAGGACTTGCTTCGATATTGCCCGTCAAATATTCCACAGTGAATCCTAATTCGTTTTTTTAGTGTCACGTTTCTCAATGATTATGCCATGCCACATCACCGTTTGGCAAGTAAACCGAATTTAACTTAAACAATCGGAGTACTCACAGACAGTACGCACATTTACCGACCAATGTATTTACTAAATATTTCAACGTCAACAATCGTGTTATATCTATAATAAGTTTTGTCATTTTCAGCTATTAAAAATATTCTAATAACTGTTACGTAATAATATATTCTTGAAACTTATATTCATTTCCAACGATCGATGGGATTTTTGAAAATATTCAAAAATATTCAACGCATACGTATGAATCATCCGAACGCCTTATGTGATCTTAACAAAAATTGTTTTAAGTGTGACTAACGCATGAGAAATATTGTCAGGGACAGTTTAGAAACGTATTATCTCCGTGTGGGTTTCTACTGCTGACACTCGTATTGGTACATATTGTCATCTCTCACATTGCCGCTGCAATAACAGAGACAATATGTGTCAATTCAAATTTAATTACAGTAGAGATCCAAATATATTTAACTATTTATTAAATCGACCGAAATTACCTGGACAGTGCGAAAGAAACAAAAACGGTCAAACCAAAACAAACAACAAATCGTCAAGAGAACTGGATCGAGGCTGTTCAAAGCGAAATATTTGACGTCTTTCTTTGTTTTGAATGAAAATAAAATATGTGTGAATGAATGAATCGATTGACACTTACGCGTAATTATCATTGGGAGTCTCCAAAATAATCAGTGATATTTGCTACAAATAATCAAGGATTCTATAGTTGGAAAACGAGAAAATCAGCTTTGGATTTAAGGAACTATTGAATCAAAAAAAAAAATGATAGTTTACTTTTAAATAAAATAACTAAATTTAGAGCAATATTGAGTCAAAATTAATATGTTTAACAGAAAAATGAATGGAAGTAGTATTTATACATTTATTAAAGAAACGAATAAACATTTTCATAAAAACAAATAAAGTTTCTATATATTTAATAAGAAAACAAAAAAAAATGGTCTATTGTTACTATAAAAGTATTTCATTAATATATTCTGGCCAGACTGATAGAGTATGGTTTTTTCAGAGTATGTATGTTAATAATATAGGTCCGTACGTCGGGCCGAACTGAAGTCATTTCATTTGATTCTTATTCTTCAGTGGTATTTTATATCATATTTACTTATCAACTGCAGTATGTAACTAACTAAAAAAAAAATATAAAATACGTCAAAATCTTACACAATACACGTCTGGCGAAATACAATGTATGGAAGTGAAAGTTAATTTTAGTAGAACAATGTGAGTTAAATAAATCCATAGGAAATGCAGTCTTCGAAATGTATGATGGGTGTGTGAATGATAGGATTAAACAGTTGAAAGGAAAGAGTGATTTTAAAAGAGGTCAACTAAAGTTAAAATAGACATGGTTCGTAAATTTGGACAAGTAAAAAAGGTATATAAACATCAAAAAAGAATTTAAAGAAGTCCGTTGAGGGCCGTCCTAGACGAACGTATGTCCAGATCGGCGACTATTATACTGAGTATATAACGGACGTAACAAAAGCACCCGAAACCGACTATTATCCGCGTATTTGTATTATAAGGAAGAAAATACGACAGTGCGCCGGTGTACTAGCGCAACACTAGCCTTACTAAAATGTCGACGTTTAGGTCCCCTCACTAATCATTCTGATACTTGGCTTGGTAAGGAAAGCACGCCATTCGCGGAAAAAGATTCTAATTCATAATGTCTAAAAGTATAAATGTGGGAGAAGCCAAAGAAGTGTGTCTGAACCTTGCCGAAACAAAGATCTGATCTGATAGATTTAACCTTAAGACTATGAGCATAAGTTAGTTTTACATTTCTCATAAAAACAAACACAACTTTTCAATTAATCATTGTACACAATAGTAGTTGTGTTGTATAATCTGACATGGTACACCGTTTAAAAATTATCTGGTGCTACTTTGACGTAATAATGTACGTTTATCGGGACTTGGAAAATTTTACGTCAAATATTCGCCGAATGTAATAAACAACGTATAGGATACAGAAGGGCTTGGTCTAGAAATAGCATCAAATCAATAACTATCGTAGCCGGGAGACGAATATCTGTGTAGTACTGGAATTTAGTACTTGTCGCTTACAGTTAAGGTTCATATTGCATAAACTGAATCCTTATCATTGATTTACTGGTAGCCGGTCACGGCACTTGCGCACTAGATCTTTATCATAGATATACAGATGTATGACCTAGGTCACCTATGAAAACGGATTAGGTAACATAATTAATCATGATCGATCTAAGATATTTTCCCATCAGATAAATACCGTTTTGCTTATAATTAATACATGTCATTTTAAATATTACAATTACACAATTAAATAATTTAAAAATGAACAAATACATAAAATTTTTCGTAAGTTACAAATAAAAAAGCATAGTAGAGAGCATTGAAAGTAAAAAAAAATTTACATTCTCTATCTATCACATCAAAAGCCCATATAAATTCACATGTTGAATTATTACTATTATAAATAAAAAATAATTAGAGCTGGATTGGGTTTTACATTGTGACAATACATTGATGCCGATCGGAACACAAAATAAGAGAAAGCGGATATATCTTATCTCGGAATATAGTCTTCTACAACTGAGACAATGACTAAGTATTGAAAGACAAGATGACGTCATTGTATATTCAAATGACACAAAATATTCCACGCGGGGTATATTTTTAGAATTTTCCATCAAATTATAATACTAAAGACGTCAACATCGCACGGGAAGGACAAATCAATAACACGTCATCGCTCGCAATAATAATTCAAAACATCGAGATAAATTCATTGGTGTTTTTTTGAACACGGTGGAAAAGTACTTGAAATGGCAAAAACGCCCATTTACATCAGTAATATAAGTTAGAAAGTTGCAGCTGGGTCTACCTTTAATGGACGCCATTGTTCTGGACAAACGAGATACGAGATTAAAAAAAAAAATATGTCAAATCATATAGATGACATATAGACTTCCCGGGATACGATATTTCTGTTTTCTGCTGACGAACACATAAAATAAAAAAAATAACAATTTAATACTTTGTAAATAATTTAATATGGTACCTTTAATCGTTTGTAGAAATTTCTTGATCTTATCGTTTGCATAAAAAGATGCTTCTACACCTTGGAAGTTTTTAATATGAGGGTCTGCACCATGTGTGATAAGCAACTTGACTAATTTAATATTGTCTGCAGATACAGCATCAAAAAGTGGTGTATCACCGTTTGGGCCTTTATCGTTTACTAGGGCACCACCCTTAAGTAAATCTTTTACTACTTTTTGTTGACCTTGAAAGCACGCGTCATGTAACGCGGTCCAACCTAGAATGAAAACAAATTTTCATATTATATTTTATACAAGTGAAGCTAAATACAAACACATATATAAAACATCTACATACAACATAAACACCTCTTTTGTAGTAGAGAAATGCAATTTAATTTAAAAAAGCAAAAAAAAATTGTTTTATACTATTTCATACCTTCTAAAATTAGCGAAATTCTTGTCTAATTTTCATTTGCAAATATAAAAAATCATACTCATATTATAAATGCGAAGATATTACCAAACAAGCTACCATATAAGCGTTATATATATCATCACCACATTTACAGTTGCTTTTGATTTGAAAATAATAAAAAAAAACTGATTCTCAGAATTTTAAAGCATGGCTTTATTACTCTTCTTTAAATAAAGTTGTGCTAATCATTGATTATATTAAAATAACATTATTGTCATTCTAAATTGTAATAACAAAGTGTTTAAGTCGGATTAATTTTTTTTGTTTAGACTTAAACATTGATTTATACTAAAGTGATCTTAAATTTTTCCAACCATTATTATTGTTTCGATTAGGAAGTTATCTTTACCTATACACATTTTTTCCAAACATTCTGTACCTTAAATTGTATCTGAACTGTAAAGCTCAACATACATAAAACATTACAATTTTTTTTAATTTAATTCTTGCTTTTACCGATTAAGTTGGTAGTCAATGTTTTGAATTTTACTTTCTTATGTTGTTGTATTATGCAAATTCTATCATTCTTATTTAGAACTTTGTAAAAATGTATCACTGACCTTGAACAAAAAATTCTGCACTCAAATGATACTGGATGCAATTTATGGAATTTTACGTTTCTATGTTTACAAGATGGAAGTTTTAATTTGTAATAAAAGATATAAAATTGAAAATATCAGATCACATCCCTAACTTATAATAAATTCCTAAAGATCCCTAACCTGTAAAAACAATAACATTATATCTTACTAGATTGTTCTTGTAATTCCGCGCTGACGAACTCGCGGGCGACTGCTAGTCTTATAAACTAAAGACATCACAATTTAAAAAACAATGATAATAAATTCTCCACAAAAACATGTTGGCTGTGTTTTTATAAAGAGAATGATGATCACATGTTGTACATGGGTTTTGGCATTTGAAAATCACAGTAGAAAATCAATATACAGTAGACCCGTGGTAATGAGGCAAACTCAAATCTAAATATGTAAAATTATATAGTACTGGCCAAGACTAAAAAGAATATCATGTAATCCGACAAATTACAGATCAAGTTCAGATACTATATGTTATACTTACAAATATATGTTTATATGTTTGTCTGTATTAAAGAAATCAAAAGCATAATGTAAATTTTGTATAAATAGATTTATGAAGATGGACATGATGGATAACTAGGGGCCAGACTATTGCAGGTCCACTGTCTACTTTACTACTTCTACATATGTTATTTCTACTTTTAATAAAATTTGCAAACTATCTACTACATAGCATATACATACATGCATATCATATTTGTATGCATAACTTTTTGGTATAGTTATTTTCTTAATAATATCGATATATTTTTGAAAGTGTTTTGATATAAACCATTTTTTGTTTGGTTTTCAAATATCTTGGTACATAACAGTAATCCCTACACCAAAAATTGTGTTCCCAGTGATTCATATGATGTTCCCGGTCACTAAGATATATAACAATTTCATTAGTTAAATATGTGATTGACAGCTCACCAGTATGCCTAGGTTTAATTGAATTGAAACCCTATCTAAATATGTTAACACTTAAGAATAACATCTCTTTAAAGCAAAACCAAAAAACCTTTTTCCAGTACCTGTGGTATCCATGCGCATGCGTTTTCTTTCCTCAGCAAACGTTAATACTGCACAAGAAAATGGTAAAATGTTATAAATGACTTACTTTAGATTATTCATATGTTTAACAAATATATTTAACCTTGAATAACATCTTTCTGTGAATTTTGTATCGCAATCTTTGTTTGCATTCGAAGGGACACAGGTGGTTTAGCAAGAGGTTGTTTCGGTTTCTTTGGCAGTCGTTGTGTACTCCTATTTCTTTTTCGTTTTTGTTGTAAATGTTTGGTGATGCCTTTCCGTTGTTTTAGTTTTTTCCATTGCACAGGATTAATTTTGCTTTGTTGGGATTGTACTTGTTTAGATTTACCAGTCTGAGATTGTACACTTTCACATTCAGCATTCTCAGACTCGGGTTGTAAGACCATCACATCCTCTCGTACACATTCAGCATTCTCAGACGCGGGTTGTAAGACCATCACATCCTCTCGTACACATTCAGCATTCTCAGACTCGGGTTGTAGGACCATTGCATCATCAGGTTGTACACATTCAGCATTCTCAGACTCGTGTTGTAAGACCATTGCACCGTCAGGTTGTACACATTCAGTGTTCTCAGACGTAGGTTGTAAGAGCACCACACCTTCTAGTTGTACACATTCAGCATTCCCAGACTCTGTTTGTAAGAGATTTGCTTCCTCAACTTTCCCAAATTCAATGTTCTCAGACTTGTGTTGTAAGAGATTCCCTTCCTTAGATTGCCCAAATTCAGCATTCCCAGACTCGGATTGTGAAATGTGCACATCTTCGGGTTGCACACACTCTATGTTTCCAGACCCAGATTGTAAAAGGTTCAAATCCATAGGCTGTACACATTCGGGTTTCCCAGACCCTGGTTGTAAGAGCTCCACATCCATAGCTTCTGCGGGTTTGCATTCCCCACACTTGGATTGTAAAAGTTGAGATGTTCCTTGAGGGTTCATGTTGTAAGCTTGTAAAGTTTCAATTTTCCCACTTTGGAGTTGTACGCTTTTGGATAAATCTTGCGTGGGTTGTATGCTTTGTGGTGCTCTTCCTTGCAAGGGAAGGCTGCGCATTTTCTTTGAGTAAGGGGATGCGGTGACTCCCTGTGAAGACAATAAAACATGTTTAGTATTAAGTATACGACAATGGATTGACCCGAATCTCATCAAAAATTACCGAAGTCATGTTTCCCATTTAGTTTAACAAAAGCTACATAGCACCAATTATAATATTATGAAATTTTCACACACAACACTTTAGAAAACAGAAGTCAGACTGTCATGATATGTTATGGAAGCCAAAGAGTATGCAAATGATAGATTTTTTTTTAAATTTTATGACCTGGTAACATAGACCTTTAGGTCAATAAATGATAGAAGACCAAAGAGTAGAAGACGACGATGGACACAGAGTATGTAAAAGTTGTGATACAAAGAGCCAAAGAGACACACAAAGTCTTTACTTGTTTTAAAAATAGTTACCTTCACTATACACTAAGTTACTTATTGGTCATGTAAAAGAATTAAACGTATAAGATTTTAGGAAAAAATATTTTGTGGAAAACCGCTTCACAAAATCAAAATTTTACCAGAGAACAAAAATCTTGTAAATTAAACTTTCTATCTAACAAAAAAAGTTTTGCAGCGACTCTACAGGTTGTTGCAAAACATGATTGATTTCTGTTCCGATATTCGTTATTTTTATATTGCCCGCAACTTTATCCGCGTAAATTTTGCCTTTATATTATTTAGGCTACTTATTTTACTAACATTTTAACGACAAAACATATTAAAATCACAAAACCTTCCTATAAACCTCATATATTCTAATACAAACTTTCATCCCCTATTCCCTATTCCTATTTTGCACCCTTGAAGGTAACATTTTTACACAAAATTAATTTCATATCTATACATATTAAATTAACAGCCCAAAAATAAGTTTAAAAAGCAGCCTATTTCCTTCCCCGAGCTCTAGACTATCTGTGTACCAAATTACGTTTAAATCGGTTTAGTAGTTTTTGCGTGAAAGGACATACAGAGTTACTTTCGAATTTATAATATTAGTAAGGATTAGTAAGGATAAGCTAGAGTTTGATCATGATCCCATTTGATGTTAAGTGATGATGTGGCTGAAAGATGGTATGCGCTAGCTTAGTAAATCCCTACTCACTCTACACTTGAAGCCCGCTCCCACGTTATATTGGCGAGCCTCCTGTAGGTGTTTTATAAAGGTATGTTTTACAAAAATGTGTCTATGAAATAAAGGTCAGTGTTGGGAGCTCTTAAACTATCGCAACGGCAACGTTGAACAAAAAATCGAACATGAACTTTCATACATTTTTTTTGTAAAAATTTTAAAAAATGGCAACGCAGATGAAAAATCTAGTCATATGTCAATGTCAAGTTGATATGATCGTTGTATTGTTAATAATTATACGTTAATAGATTTTGTTTGTCCCTTATTATCGTTCCTCCAGTAAAATTCATTCAATTATATCTAAAAAGAAAGATGTGGCGCCCTTCAATCCCATTACTTCGGAAAGTCGTTTTACCTTCAATTAAGGACAATGTTAAATTTTCTAAAACATTCTTTTCTACAAGAAACCGTTTGCCGAAATCCACTGCGAAATTAACCCTTGTCAGTGCCAGCGTTGGTGTCTTGATCGGCGCCGGCTACGGTGGATATACACATTATGTAGTGAATTCTAAGAAACGTCCAAAACTTACCCTAAACGAGGAGTATGCTTTTTTAAACGAAGCTCCGCCTTACCAGGCACATTACAAAGTAAGTTCCACATCGAATTTTAATTGATATTAAACGATAGGAAATTGTTTCTAGCTTATTTGCGGTCGTTATTTATTTCGAAGATAAATTAATAATAATAGACTTAGGTTTTAATGGGAACATAATAAATAAATAAAAAATTTGGGAAGGTTATGTTAGATTCGTAATATGTTAAATAATAAAAAAAATGAAGTAGTCATGGGTAACTCAATTAAAATTTATGACCCCTAGTTCAGCGCATGGTTCACATGTGTGAAGCAGATCAGAGAACTGGTTCCTAGCCCAGCTTAATTTTTACCTGCATAGAGTAATGATGTGCATTCCGAGCTACAAGCCACAAGACAGCTTATTGGCAAATACATAGGTAACATACATCTTGATGAGCTGTGAGCTACAAAGTAAGTTGTTCAGCCGCAGCTCAATGGTTTAAGTGATCTGAACTATCGGAACCTTTTCACTGCTGATTTTGATTTTAATTGAAAACAATCAAGATAGGTTAGGTTTGAAATATCTTAATAATGTTATGAATAATAAAAATTCAAATGTTTGGATGGATGGATGTTCAAAGGTATCATTGGAATGGCTTAACGGATGTCAGTGAAATTTGGTGTAGACATAGTACATAGTTTGGAAGAATAAAAAAGTCATGTCTTATGACAAAGTAACATTTTATAACTCACTTGACTGTTCCATAATCTCATTTTTCATCCTCAGTTCTTGAATCTTCTTGTTGATATTGGTTAGCTCTACAAGTCACTACCGTCATACTTATATTTTATGATTTTTAAATAATGTGTTATTTTTAGGTTATTAATGAATCAGATTCAAGTAATTTACAGTTAGTTTTATTTCAATACCGAACATGTCCATTTTGCTGTAAAGTTCGGTCGTACCTTGATTCCAAAGGCATAAGTTATGAAATTGTTGAGGTGGATGCAGTTTTGCGCCAAGCTATCAAATGGTCTGCTTACAAAAAAGTTCCTATCTTATTGGCCAAAGTTGATGGTGGATATCAGGTAATTATAATAAGTTAACAAGTGAATAAGTTTTGTAAAATCAGTGGCTTGTTGTGTTTATAGATTTATAAATTTAAAGTTACAAGAAATGCATAAGTTTTAAACCACTAAAGCACAACTCTACAAAGGATGTTGAACTATTTTATTTCAATTTATTCTGTGGCTTGATGATTAAAAGTACATAATTATATTCATACTACCAGGTGCTTGATTTGCCACATTAGATAGAAAAATATTCTTGTTTCAATGTGTCAAAACAAATGAGGAATACTATACATACTTTACACATTAACTCTAAGCTAAAAAGAGTTTACTAAATTTGTATACTACATTTCAGCAACTAATGGACAGTTCAGCTATAATATCTGCCCTAGAGACATACTTTCGGGACAAAAACTCTCAGCTTACTGAGATTGTAAAATTTTATCCTTTATCGAGATACACTAATGATGACGGGAAATCTATGACAGATATTACAAATAAATATTTTGTAATGCACAATTCTTCTGTACCAGACCAGAAAGAAAGGATGGAGGAAAAGTAAGTAGTAAAAATTAAATAATTCCAGTTTTCTAGGTTAAACAGTTAGATCAGTGTAATTGTCTTAGGTTATTTTGTTGAGGTTATGTTGTTATGTTATGTTGTTTTACTAAAGAGTATCATCGTCATTACTAATATAATATAGCTGCTATAAATTTAATTTAAAACTCTTGGTCAGACTTTTGGTGAGAGTTGCTTTGATGTTTGAAGTCAAATTTAAATTCACCCATAAACATCACAGCTTTATATTTTGATTGGAATTGTTGCCATTTCTTGGTATAAATTAATTATTGTAGACCTATTTTAATCTATTTTTATTATTTACAGGGAGGAAAGAGAATGGCGTCAATGGGCGGATAGTGTGTTGGTACACACATTATCACCGAATGTATATCGAACTCCAGGTGAAGCTTTGGCGACCTTCAAATGGTTTGAGGAAGTGGGCGGCTGGAAACAATCTTTCCCCGGTTGGGAATGTGCTTTGATGGTATATGGCGGGGCTGCTGCTATGTGGATGATTGCTAAGAGGCTTAAAAAAAGGTAAGTTTTCACTATCTCATCTTAAAGAAAGTAATGTAGTAATTAACATTTTAAAGTTTAATTTTTAACTTATTATATACATCACAATGACGGTTACTGACTGGGAAGCTTTCTAGTATGTATTTTTTAGGATGGTTTGTGGCTAGGACAATTTTTATCAAGCTTGTTGTGTATTTATTATACAGCTTAGTAATTGATATTTCCAAAATGTAAAAAATAAGCTTGTTAGTCATGTTTAAGGGATTTTTTTAGATGACTCTTAAACATTTGTGATTATTTTATATTGCAATACTTCTGGGTTCAGCGAGTATTAACAATTATTGTTTTTTTTCAGGCACAATCTGCAAGATGATGTAAGGCATTCACTATATAATGCTGCTGATGCGTGGATTGATGCTGTGAAGAAGAAAGGCTCCAAATTCCTCGGTGGAGATCAACCTAACTTGGCCGATGTTACTGTGTATGGTGTACTGAGCAGTATCGAAGGATGTCAAGCTTTTCAAGATTTGAGAAATAATACTGACATCGGTAAATGGTATGATGAAATGAAGAATAATATTGCTAGTAAGAAAGGTAGAGTTCTTTCAGTCCATGCCAAAAACTAAAACAAATTAATACTATCAGTGCCACCGACTTGTCAATGGGTTCATTTTTATGAATATGTGTTATAAGTAGACAACATGATATTTTTTATAGGTATTTTAAAAAAAACTTTTATTTTAGTGTAGTATAAATACTTATTGGATTTAAAGTAAAAAAAAAATATATCTATAGAGTTATTAAACTTTAACATAATGATATCCTGTCACATACATTAATAGGTAATTTATTATATACAACTCTATATTACATATTTAGAGTGTATGAGGGTAATGTATTTTATGTATATACATTTAAACTTATTTACTCGGCTTTGTATGTATGAGTATTGTGACAGACTACAGAAACAGCTAAATGGATTATGACAAGTGCGGTGTCAATAGTATTTTCCTAAAGGTTCAAGGAGTGAGTCAATTTCTTTGGTTTTTTATTAACAACTAATGCTTCAAAGATTATATCCAAATTAATTAAATCTTTATGGATTTAATATAATTTAGGTGTTTTTTGTTCTGTAATTTTGTATATCGGAATGGTCAAATACATGGTATGTTTTTTTTAAGTAGATTCTGTTCCTATTCGGTATGTAGATGGTATTAATAAAAATAGGAAAGTTTAAATAATTGTAGGTTAATTACCTATTGTAGTACAAACATTTCAATTATTTCACATTTATATTTGAACAAAATATTAAAATTAACTTTATATTTCTTATTTCCCTCTCTTTATAGTGGATTCGTTACCATTATTGATATTAAGCGTTTATAGCAATAATTAATAATATATTCAGGCATTAATTGTAAGTTTTATGAATCGTGTAATTCGTTAACTTTAACATTTTAAATGAACTTTTGCGTCCAAATAAAGTATTGATTGAATTTGATTAAAGAGCTTCGTTATTTTTTTTTAATAGTTCTTAGTGTGTTATTTTTATTAGTACAAAAATGATATTTCTTTCGTTAAAGTTGAGGTGATATTGTAGTGATGTTTTTTTGATGAATAAAACTTGCATAATTTTTTCGTATTTTTTATTTACACCTTTAGTCAAAAAGAGAACAAAAAGTTTCGTTTTATGTCCTCTTTTTAAGTAACATGTTGATTACAATGCGTAATATCCTAAGCTATTCCTATGTATATATCTATTGTTTTGGACACTACAACATTTTAGCAGGCAACTTGTGTGTAAGCAAGAGAAAATCCCCTGTTAGAGACGTCAGGTGGCGTTGTCGCTGTTGCCCCTTCGTTTGCGTCTGTTACGACGTATAGGACAAAAGGCTTTGCTCCAGCTGAAAAAAAAAACATTTGTTTTAATTTTTTTTATAAAGTAAGGGGGTAAACGAGCAGCGGAACACCGAGGTGTTCATCGACGCACATGAATATCTGCAACTCTCGATTAGATTGTCGATACTACTAGACTATAGATTGTTGATAGTTTTAGTTTGTTGAAAAATAAATCGATGTTATAGTACAGTGGTTCTCAACTTCTTTTGCTCTCATCCACCTCATAAAAAAGCCAAAATCTTGGCCGTTTTAAAAAAAAAGTGAAGGAAAGAAAGAAGGTCGAAAGGTCATTTGTTTCAAATATAAGGAAACATACTTTGCACCGGGACAAATCCGAGACCGCAGAATCGATCCGTGCCCGCTGTGACTCCAGTAGCGACCACCGTCGGGTTTGGTATCACCACAAAATCTGTGGTGCAAGCGGCACCGTTAACAGCACCCACTGTGGTACCCAGCACGGTATTGTCTGCGCCGTCCACATCACCGGTTACCGTGAATGAGTAAATGTCGTTTGCCGCCTGTAAAATTTACTTGCAACATTAATATATAGCTCATAATCCAACTAGAATGAAGGGATTAAAAAGATATTGAGAAAAAGTGTGACAAAGTCGCTCTGGATATTATCGCCAAATATAATATTAGCCATAGTAATATTATAATTTGGTATTATTTTATAATTTCGCTCTTGTATCAATTTTAGGTGGACTATCAAAGAATTTATTTATTTGATGGTATAGGTATTAATATACCTGTGAATATTGTATCGCACAATAACCGGCTTCCATACGGATGCATATGCCGTAATTCAAATTTGCAATCTGTCGGGTACCGGTAACAAGAGATGCGCTGAGCGCTGTGTTCGGCGTTGTTCCATAATTGAAACTGTTAATAGTTCCTGTTAAACCTGTGTAATACTGTAAGCAACCGTTGGGAGCTGGAATAAATATTGAAGTTATAAGTATTTGCTCAATAAAAAAAATAAGTCAAATTATCAACAAAGATATAACGAAAGGTGGTCCACTCGGGAGCAACTGTTGATTGGTGCAATTGAAGGACACTGTCGGTACTGGAAACGTATCTTACCTATTCCCGGGCAATCGCATCCGAGCTGAGTTAATCTCATATTCCACCTCCTTGAAAATGTCGTGGCCAAGGTAGCTGTGATAGTTATTGTAATAGCAGCGTCTTGGTTGAAGTCGACAAAGATCGTCTGTCCGGTATTATCACCGCAGATGGTCGGCACTATGGTGTTACCACCGGTGATTGTTACTGCATCAGTCAAGCAGACTCCATCACCACTCGGCTGAGCGAGAACCATATCTAAGAAATCGATACGTAGCTGAAAATAAAAGTTAATGATATAAGTATGAAAATAATTAGTAGATTAGTAACAAATAGAACGACCGAACTCAATAAACGACCTCGAAATAATATTTGCTTCGAGAAACTGATCTATTGTGGAAGCGCTATGAATTTGTTTTGTCCTTCCTTCTATTAAATGTGAAAGCCTTGTAAAATGTACTAATTAACTGACTAAATCGGTCTAGACCAAGCGTGAATGTGTGCTAGGAAAATATGGTTTATGTTACTTTGGGATGATTAAGCTTCACTGCCTTTTGGGTACTAGAATAATTTAGTTTACTAATCAGAATATTACCTGACAGACGTTTGAGTTGCATCGATTGACGATGAGGGTACAGGTCTGTCCGCCAGCGTAAGCACCCGGGTATCCGGGGCTCGTGAAATATGTGTTGTTCACGTTTGTTGTACTACCACATGTCCTCGAAACTAAATAATAATTCACACATTTAGTAATTATGAGTACAAATGGGTATATTTTTATTTCATTCATTAAAGCCTATGGATTGACTGGTATTATCATCATCAGCTCCCAACTATCCCCACTGGGGCCTACCATAACTTATGGTTGCCTAGGCCATAGTTAATTACGTTGGCCCCGTGCAGAGTTCTTCGCAGATATGTGAATGTTGCATCACGATGTTCTCCTTTACCGTAAGAACGTTGCATAAATGTACAAATATAAATCGAAAAACACACTCGGACATGATGGGATTGAACCCCGGACCTGCAGATTACAAGTTAAGTGCTTAATAGAAACTGATATAGCTTATTTGGTTGTCATTAGGGATGGTTGGTGATAACACGACGACTATGATTTTCACAAGCCAACAGTGATTGTGTTAAAAAAAAGAAAATCCTTTACCAATGCAGCATCTTCCTCTCCTTGATGCGCAAGTGCCTGTTATAGTACCGTTGAGGTTGTTACACTCCCTGCGCGCTAAGCAAGTGCCGTTCATTGTATTTGTACTCGCACAGTCAGTGTTCGCGAAACGAACTATGCTTACAAATGGAAACACTGAAACATCCCTTCAGATTATCATTCTAATAAAACCTAAATTCTTTGCTTGTCATCTATACATACAAACCTATTTAATATGCTTATTTTCTAATATTATTTAATTTTGAATACATTATAGGTATCACAAGAACGCACGAGCACAAGATAATAACGAGATAATAAAATCGCTATGCAAATAAAACAAATATACTAAATATTAGAAAAAGAAAGTACTGTAAAACTGCACTCATAATTATTTGCAGATTACTTACATATTTTCCCCTTTCTGTCTCCCTGTTCTCTGAAGTCTTCATCCAAATCTTCATCATAAACTGAAAATGCTGTAACAGCCACAAGCCATGTGGCGACAATGATCCAGAAAAATTTACGATCCATGTTAATATTTCACAAACAAGATTTTAAAGCAATTACGATAGTTATAAGGTGATTTCTGTCTTTGAAAAATAGGTCATATTCAATTATAATTCGTTTTACAATTTCACTATGCTATCAGCAAAGAAATGAGAGTGGACATGACCAGCTATCTATATATAAAGTGGGTAATAACGGTTGTTTGTTTGTGCAAACGATTAAGGGTGTTACCGTTTCCCATTTAGCAAGTATCCGCTGAAGTGAGGTCTCAAATCGATTTTAGGTGACGTTTACATTTGACACATGTATTTACTTGAACGATTTTTTAAATAACGATAGTTATTTGTTGAATGAATTAGGAACAGTTGGAAATGTTAAAGATGATCTGACTGCTTTCTATTGAGTTTAACAATAACGTTTTTTTTACTAAATAAGGTTGACAGTTGAGAGTGAACGTCGACATATAGTAATATATACACTGTTTTAGATCCTAAGGTCGGTGAACGGTTACTGTGAAAATCCTTGCGTGTTAACATCATTCATTCATCCTTGCTAATGATGTCATTTGGAAAGCGATCACTTTGATATTAAACAGAAATCAGGAAGGAGTTTTCTCGTTTTCCACCTTCTATTACAAAAGGGGGATTCGAACCCACGTCCACATAATCGAATTATACGTTGCACCATGCTGTAGGTGCTGCTCATAATAGATTTGCATCAAGCATACGCCTCTTTGGGCTAATTCATTTAAAATGATAACATTATTTATAATTGAATTTGTCATTCGAAACCAGGTTTCCTAAAAAAACTACAAATTAATAAAATTCAAATCAAATGTGACTAAATTTATTTTTTTTCCGAAGTGAAATTTGCAGCTACATATTTTACAGACATTATTCTTGTATTTTTATATAAATCTCTTTAAAATCGTTACAAATTGTATGTTAAAGGCTACAATTAATTATTATAGTTATTAAGATTAGTCAAATAACTAACGCTCGCTTTTGTTTTGTTTAACTTGAACACAAAATGGTATAAAAATCTTTATATTCATATTAGTTTGCTTGAAGAATACGGAATGAATATTCTACATAACTAGTTTAATTGAAATTTAAATTAAGTACATATGACCAAATTATTTTTGAGAATTTTGAAGACTAATTGAAAAGACTTGACAAAATTAGATAAAAAAATGTACAATATCTTAATCTTAATCAAAGCGTTTTGTTATTTGACTGATTCATATAACTACTACAAAATATTTAACAGCCTCGAGCCTTTCCTTAACGATATTGGTATGCATCAATGCTATGGCACCGACATTAAGCCAGCAAAATTTAAGGCATGTGTCACACAGACGCTATAATAAAAGCTAATACTCTTCTGCCGTAGACTACGCTGTGTGCTACATGTTTTATAAATATATTTTTACATATTTTATATATGAGTTTTATTGGTTTATAATCGATACTACAAAACATTTCGCAACAGAAAAGGGCTTACTTAAAATGTAAGTGAAAAGGGACAGAGTCCAGGAAAAGTATATAATGGCCGATACCAATAATCAATCATTATTCTGGGATAAAGTCTTAATTTAAAATCAAAATTAAAATTATTACTTCATACATGAGGAGTCGCTAAAATCATTCCATCGATAGGTAAAATTTTTAGATTGTAAATGTATAAATATTAGATGAGGAAAAATGCTTCGAGATTGATTTTTGGGGTCGACCGTTTATGGTACTGCAATATAATTTTTTGTAACAAATTATTGGTCGTCAACAACTATAAATGTATGTTGAATTCATCATTTTAAATCTTGGAGTTTCCTTTGAAATAACATAATCTGTACAGTTCTTTTTAGTAAATAGGCAAGCTCTTTTTCGACAAAGGTAACACAAAAATCTAAGTGTCCAATATAAAAAAAAAATGTTAGTAAATCACACATCTGGCAATTCTTATCGTATTATCTTAACATAATATGAATCCATACGTACTACATGCATATACATCAACATTTTACATTAGAACTTTACAAAAAAATATATAAAATTAAAAAAAAAAAGAATTTAAAAACTTGTCATTGGTAATAAATTATCATGGTGACTTAGTCAACGCGTAAAACTATACGTCCTTAAAACTAAACAACCTAATTAAAAAAGATACAAACAATCTCGTAAAATTAAAAATAAAACAAAAATATATAAGTATGTACAATACATACGAGAAACGAGCAAGTAAAGAAAATAAGTGAGGTACAACGGACAGGAAGACAAAATACTGTCTTTATGTAAAAGTTAAAATATAATTAAGATTATTTTGAAATATGGCAACTTTACAATTTTATGGCAAATATCATTAAATTTTTATTAAATCTGTTCATACATTTATGAGCTTATTTGAAACATGTAATTAAATCTATGGGTGTACCAGTTTTTTAGTTCACATGCCCAGAAAATTTTCATTTTTTAAACTTTATTTTAAAATAAATGTGACACTTCTTTTTAAATAGAGTAATTTAAAGAAGAATATAAAAAGGCAAGTAATACAAAATCGTTACAGTTAGGAATCATATAGAATTAACTTTGGTCCTGGAAAATGGACGTAAAACTGAAGGTTAACCATTATTTATTGACTTCAATATTTTTTATAACAGAAGATGGCAAACGAGCAGCGGGAAAACCGAGGTGTTCAACGACGTCCATGGACATCAGCAATACCAGAGGAACAGCAGATGCGTTGTCGGCCCTTTAGAATATATTAATAGTATATTTATAATTTTTTCTCTTTTTCTAATTTGATCTCTTGTGTCGGAGGCCAAGACCCACTTTGGGTCGATGCGCCAGCGGAGTAAGTATATTTATAATTTTGTTAACCAACTTTACAATCATCGTAATACTAATAAAATTAAATGACGTGTCTAAATGCAAATGAGAATGGCAAGATCTATTTATAGTATCAAAAGTACTTCATGAAAATTACGAAACAGTATTGATGACTTTTGATTAATAAAAAAAAAATTACACTTTTTAAATTGTTTTCCTTAAAATTCTTGGTAACAAAATATTGCGGGGTTTAACTTGAAAATATCTACAATGCAGTTCGGATTAGTTAAGAAAATAATTATACATTATTAAAATAATTAATAACCCTGATTATATTGATTTTATTTTTTAAAATCATCCCCGGAAATGTTAAAAGACTAAAATTTAAAGAATAGTTCCATTCAGTGTTGAATATTTCGAGTCATATAGATAAATCTTTGATAATTATTTTCCACTGATATTTTTTTAATTATAATAAAAACATAAAAAAAATGTACAACAAATACAGCGACATCTATTATAAATTATCAGGAAGCAAGGATAACATATTTTTTCTGTTTTTTTTTCTATATGCCCTGAATTTTTTGTAATAAAAAGTAGGTAGGTACCTAGTTAAGTAAAGGCACCAATCAGATTATAAATAATGACTAATAAGACATTCGAAAGTTGCTAATATATAAAATTGTAAGCAATACTTAAGTACAAACCACTAGTGACTATTAAAATGGCGTATGCAGAATTAATAAAAACGAAAGTGTACGAAGGCACTTTGGAAAACTTTCGGCCCAAGTGGACGGATACAGTAAGGCTGTTTGTTATATTTCCATTCTAAATTCCTTAATTATTTTGAAATAATTTCTATACCAAACTTTTTTTACATTTTATTTATTTTAATCTTAAACAGATATCTGTAATAAATGAACTAATTTGTCTGGAAATCTATTTTAATTGGATATTAAGATTGAAATAAATCGAGACTAGATAGTGTAAATATGCGCTTCCGAATGCAACGACCTGAATAATATTGAAGATTACTCACGAAAGAGATATGTTTATCTGTTTTTTTTTATAAGAGAACGAAAGGGACAACAAATATGCATTTGTAATCGAATTTTAATTATGATATTATGAAGTGTGTTTAACGAATGCACGCTCTTAAGAGATCAGTAAAATTTGAATATGGAATAGGCATTTAAAAATGTAAAATAAAAAAAAATCACAACCCAGGTCGCAAGATCCGAAAACGCGTCTGAACGATTAAATCTATAATTTATAAAGTAACTAATATTTTTAATTACAATTAAAAATAAAAATATCTTTAATATCTTAGATATTTGTTTTCCTTAAAATTAAATTAGCTTACAATAAATTAATCATATCTAATGAATACTTAGAGCTCTTTCGAACAAATTACTCGCGACACCATTGCTCACGGTGAGCAAAAATTTTAAGTAACCAGTATCTTAAAAATTTTATAATTATTTATTAAAAAAATACATGTGCACAGATTATTAAAACGAGATTTATACAATTGATAATAATTTTTATACATTCAGAAATTTAAATTATAAAAAAATATTTTTTTTTTGTAAATTATTCGTTATTTTGCAAGGTGTCGCGAAGCTCAAATCATATCTATTTAATATACATATAGAAATTTATAAAATACTTTTTATTTTATGTTGCTTAATAGATGACTGCACTAATAATTTATAATAATAATTATATTTGTTTGTAAAGCGATTTCCTTGGTAATAGATTGTACCTATTGTGATTTTAAACAATTATATTTAATATACGCATTGGTTAACTGGTATTACGTGAGAAATAATCTTTCATCACATTTATCTTAATAAATAAATTTATATTGAGACAGTAAAATAAGTAACGCCATCCTTTGAAAGCAATCTAACCGAAGCTTAGATCTAGATAAAGTTATTTTGAAGCAAGTTAGCTCTTGTACTTCTAATCCAATTGAGTCAGCCCGTACTGTCAGGCCTTCAGTTCTGATACAAATTGTGCTGAGTCACGGTACACCGTAGATGGTGTCTATCAGACTTGAATCCAGATCGCACTCAAGAAAGATGTTTTCATTGATAGCCTCCTGTAAAGAAATATGATAAAATGGTCAAATATTGTAAAACGTACCTGATGGAGTAAAGTCAACGTAGCTTATTGGACAATGGAATTGAAATATTATGGAGTACAGTAGTAATAAGTAGGTTTTTTTTATAACAGAAGGGAGCAAACGAGCAGCGGGGACACCGAGGTATTCAACGACGCCCATGGACATCAGCAATATCAGAGGAACCGCAAATGCGTAGCCAGACCCTAAGTCGTAGCGGTTTGGAAATACCGCCGAGGACAGACCATTCATTAATTTATTAGGTTGATTTAATTACACTGTTCATACTTTTTCTTGAATCTCGTGCATACCGCACGATGGTATACCAACTAAAAACGTGCAGGGTATTATTATATTAAATTGTAATACCTATTTTAAGTCGTGAAGGGATATAGTCGATATGGCGTGTACCAACGCGCTTCAACATGCGGGATTTCAATTACCCTGATCTCTTACAACGTTAACGAAAATGACAGCTGTTTCACTGAGTAACTGGCCAGTGTTCCGCCTTCAACTTGTCTCCTATTAAATTTAACAACGTTGCTTTTTCGTTCGTGTATTTTCCGCATTTATTTATGAGCACAATGATTATCTATTTAATTTCTTGATTACTTTTATAGTGTATAATTTTTGCCAAACAGCATTTGCCTACGAATTTTGTTGACACAATCGCGTCACAATGGTTGAGGATTAAAAATATAAGGCGTGTAGGCTATTTAAGTTTTCGGCACTATGCGAAACTAGGTTAAAGCGCGCAATCGGAACAAAGAGTAGATATTTGATTTTGTCTTCTAGTAGTCCTTTCCTTTTATTTTAGTAACTAAATTTTCTGTAATGGCGGAGGTTAAGATGGGTTTTTAAGATGCACTTTAGATCGCTGCACCTTAGGAGTAACTAACCAATTATGATACATTGATAACTGTGGTATAGTATTTTTCAAATATCTCGGTTGTTCGAAACATTCCACGAGCCGCTGTCACAATGTCATCTGCCAACATGTTTAAAAATACAAGTAGTTAAATTCACCTGTGCTGGTGGAGGCGCGGGCGGCTGATCCCCGCCCCTCCTTGCGTGTCATTTGGACGTCTTGGGCAGGTGCCGCTTCATGTGAAGTGCGAGGTGGTCAGACCTGGCGAAGGAGCGATCGCACACCGCGCATTTGAAGGGTTTAGCGCCGGTGTGTTTGCGGTAGTGACGAGTTAGCTCGTCGGATCTGGCGAATCTCCATTCACAATTCGGCCATTGACATGTATACGGTTTTTCACCTGAGAGATAGAAGATAATTTTTATAAACGCTATAGTTTTTTTTAGATATTTAAGACTATAAATTAATGAAAAAACAGAAAATTTTATAAGTAATAGAACAATTTAATGCGTGTTTAATGTAAAAAAGAAGATAGATGTGTTTTCCATTATTTTTTTTAGACTTTGATAGTATCACAATTCTCTTAGTAATGAATTAAAATTTTAGTTAAATAAATTAAATAAAAGTATGCATAATTTTAACATTATGTTTCACAATTATATTAATTTTGTTTCTGTCAAAGCTTTCGCTGTGCTTTTATTATTAACGTGTTAACGTGGCTTTTGTTTTTTATACGTTATTTTTGCAACATAATTTACTGTTATGAAATCTCACAGATTATAAAAATTTTCGCTATTGCAATAAATTACAAATATTTCGCAATGGCGGTACATTGACATCAAGAATAGAATAAAAAAATATTTAAACATGTTTCTTACCTGTATGTATACGCTGGTGAGCTTTCAGGTGCGAACTTTTCGTGTAAACTTTTGTGCAACCTGAAATTTATTAAAGTACAAAATACTTAAAAAATAAGTACAATTTTTTTTCTTTAATCCGATAAATAAAAATGCATTTTATTGTTACTTTCTAATTTACTAATAATCTTTAGTCAGAACAACTAAGTCTAGCATAAAATTGGTTTACATCTAATGTCGAAATTTGACTTATGACCTGACGTTTCGTAATCTATACCGAAAGGTTCGCCTAACCGTAGAATTCCACTGCTGTTATGCTTATATTGATATATAGTATAGTCTGTTTTGTCAGAGAGAATGAAAGAGATGACAATATGGATCAATATAATTTTTAGGGACGTGAAATTTTACTATTACAGTCGACCTATTAAAGATCCTGAAATTTTACGAAGTATAAGGTATAAAATTACCAATAAAGTCGCAGTGGTGGACTCGTCTCTTTTCCAATTCTGGATTGTTCCGCCGATTGTACTTGACATTTGGCGGAGGATCTAGGCGTGAGTGGGATAGCGCAGGGTTGTGCGCCTGCGCAGACTGCTGTGGCGCCATCTGCATCTGTGACATCGCCTGGATACGAGAAAAATTGATTTTAGTACAACGATGGTTTTACTGCGCTCTGCTACGACCGTACGTGTAGTTTCAATGCTCTGTGACCGCTATGGACATATGTGGTGAAAGAGCAATTGAATTACTTCATGTCAAATAATGAACAGTTCGCTGATCTTTACATACATAAGAAATATCAAATACTAGCTGTCCCTCGCGCCTCCATCCGTGCGGAACTAAAAAAAACTTAATTAGTAGCCTACGTCTTCTTCCAGGCTGTGTTCTACATCTATGCCAAATTTCAGCGGGATCCGTGCAGGCATCCTGGAGATACCTTCAAACATCCATCTAGTAAGTCAACAAATAACACAGTACATCTAAACAATGTCTATTTTCTGTATGTGCAGTGTCTGTCGCCTTGAAAACTGTTTAACTAATTACCTATTACTACGAATAGTGCGGTTGAATTCGAGATCTTTGTATCATGAGTCATACTAATTTAATTGATGTTATGTACACAGTATGCAGTTAGATCCGTGTTCACCTTTCACACTACGCGGTTAGTCTTTTCTTTCCTCCTTTCATTGAAGCATAGGCGATTTGAAATGTTTTTAATGATTTATTCCTATTTATGGTTGCCATACACGGACATCAAGCTGTCATTGCAGACAGTTCTAAACTGTCCATATACCTACAGCTGATTTTAACGAGTAGTCGCGTGCCATTTCGTATAGTAATCTTACTAATATTATAAATGCAAATGTTTTGACGGATGTATGGATGGATGTTTGTTTGAAGGTATCTCCAGAACGGCTGCTAGTGCAGAACACGTAAGCTACTAATTAAGTTTTTTTCTTAATGCAGCGCGGACGGATTCGCGGGCGACAACTAGTAGTATAATTTGTATAGTATCCGCGGTGTATTCCATAGTAAAACGGTGGTAGAACGGCAATAGTCGAGCCCCCAACAGCTACGTGAACATTGAACCTAATAATGTTCCAATCACAAACCTTATTATATGTTTTTTTCTATTATCCCATCTAATTATCTTGGTACTTGGTTTGTATTATATTAAGTATTTTCTGCAATAATTGGTTAGTTAATACATAAATTATAGGTTATTTATTAATAAGCGATATTCACGGAACTGGTATTTATTATAACTACAGCTCAATAGCAGTGAAAGAAAATTCCTGTAATTTTATCGGCATTAATATAAACGATAGTTCTGACCGAGCTCACCTTTACTCTGCCCTACATTCCCGCATTACAAATTTTAACATGGGTAGCGAATACCGATACAGAGAATAGTTACTTCGCTCCTATTTTGTCTTGAGCTACTTAAACTACATAAAAACTATGTTATTTATTTCGTTACAATAAATTGTCATAGATAAATAATTCTTATTATAAAATAAATAGAACTGTTATACAGATAACGCATAATTTATATCTTTACTTACAAGATTGAATATAGCTTATTTTTAGCTTGAGCTTCATTGTTGAGTATGAATAGCTAAACAAATATTGACGCGTGAGGTTCATTTATTTTTAAAAAAATCATTACCTTTTGTATAGGATTCAGACCCGCATAAAAGTCGTTGTTTTATGTTGTTCTATGATTTAACATACACAGATGTGTTTCTTATAATTTTTAGATTATTATAAGGTTTCTAAGGCGCGAAAATATTGAACATTGAACAAAACAACCTAAAATCATACGTTTGACGTTCCGATGTAACCAAAGAGTCTCTATAGAGTCGCCATATCTGAATATGTTAAACTGCAATACCTACACATAAACAAAGACTTCGTCTCTTATTTTAAACTTATTATAATGGCGTCTTCAGTTATTAAAAATAAAGATTGTGCAGTAATATTTAATTTCAATTTTTTAATAAAAGATATTTGGTACCTGGCCATTACAATAATATAAGCTCAAAAATATGGTCTAATAAAATTTAATATGTCAACAATTACCTGTGGATGTAAATGACTGTGCGCTGAAGGATGGGCAGTTAGATGTGACGTGTGCGGTGCGTGGCTTCCATGGGTCCCGTGGGTTCCATGGGTCCCGTGGGTCCCATGTGGCGCGTGCGACGGGTGAGGTGCGTGAGGAGCACGCAGCAGCGGCGGAGGATGGTAGGGCGGCGGCGGCGTCCGTCTTGTGCCTCCCTACAAGTATTACATTATGCTTTTTCTAATCACTAGCCACGATTAACTCAAGTTTTATTACTCAAGTTATTATTACCACAGAAATTATATAAACAGATTAAAATAACAATCGCTTAGCATAAGATGGTACCATCATACGCGTCATCGCAGGCAATCGCATAGCACATTTATAATTATGCTTACCTGCATGTTATTTCCTGGACTGCCTTGGTCTGAGCCGGGGGGAGTGAGTGGTGCCATGTACACAAGTCTCGATGGCGGATACTTGGCGAACGAAGGCGGCGGTTGGACATGCACCTGATGCTGCGGAGGTTGAGGCGGAAAAGCATATGTAGGAGGTACACATAGCCTTTCCGTTTTAATCTCTAGCGGACTGAGGAGTGGCGTGGCGCACTCCTCTAACATCGGATCGTCAGCTTCTAGTTTCACGTGGGTCGCTCCGAGCGGTGCGAGCATGTTTGCATTTTCTGGATCGATGTTTCTTATTGAAGAGGCTATGTCCTCCCATAGTGCGGGCCGGAACGCATCCTCTCTGGAAGACGGACCGCCATCGAATAGGTCCATTTGGGCTGGCGCGATCGATGCGCCCTCTTGCTTGCACAGCAGTGATTCCAGCTCCGATGTCTACAGGACAAAGAGACAATTTAAAATAACGATGTAGATACGATGAACAAATGGTGATATACATAACAGATAGTAATGCTAAACTGACGTGTGCCTATTGTGATCATTGTCAAACTTTTAGGTCAATAGAGTAACTTAAAATAGATTTTGTTCAACAATACATTTCAATCAAATCTGTTTGTTTTACTTAGATTAAAATTCTTGTAAATGTAAATTGTAGGTCCATAATCATTTTGACATTTTCCAATTTCTTCACGGCGTGCGGACAGGCTGAGGTGCGTTGAGGTCCACAATTACCATACAATGGATCGGCCCACGCGCTCCCCGCTGCCACAGGTGACGAACCTTTAGTATCTTATAGCGTATTTAAAATGACATCCCGTAATTTTATAACTTTAAATCATTTTATAAGACCCTGAGAAGAGTGCAGTGAAAAAAATATATGTTAAAAGTTGGTTTTAAAACTATTCTTTTCCGTTTTCTATAGCTTACTTACCCTTTATCTCATACTACTACAACTTACGCAAAAGGACTACTTAAGTAACGAGTATGTTCACGTAAATTTATGCACGCGTGTAGAAATCTCTGTCAATTCCTTTAGAATTTTAGTTCTACAAGATGTTTCATAGCACAAATAAGACATGTATTTTAAGAAGTGTAAGTTAGAATAACAACACTAAATTAAACCGAATTTCACCAAACTTTGTAAGTACCTAACTTAAATTGTCTACTTTTAATAATAAAAACATTTTTAAATTAGTAATAATAGAAGGTATGCTAACAGATTATTCGGTGATATAAATCGAAGGAGGTAGATGTAATATGTTTGTCGACGATTACGTTAATGTTGTGGGCCGAGGGGCTGCGGTTGAGATATATTATTTTGCATCAATAATTATAATCTCGGGTACCGATCAACCTGTTCCGTGGTCCGCTATCCGAGTGAGAAATCGTGAACTCCCTGCTCGGTGCATAGTTTAACGATTGGAACTTCTGAGCGCGGCTCGGTGTCGCAACTGAGCCGGACCGCGCAAATTCCTTCCATGACCTTTGCGGATCGAACGATTGCGACAGAGTCTCCTCCATTGCGGCTAGACGAGCTTAGGCAACGTCCCACAGATTAGGCCGTATTACAGATACGTCACTTTTTGTCTAACATAAGGATTATGCATTTTCACGGGTGTTTATATTGTGTAGGTAACTATTTCATTACGACCATCTCAATAGGCATGTAAACGATTTTTAAAGGGTTAAAATACCAATATTTTTTTTTTATTATGAGCGAGCAAGCAGTCACCTGAATTTGTCGAAATGACGAAGCGACCTCTGCGCATCCACATCTGCAAATGAAAATGCGTCTCCTACTTTTAATCGTCCGAGATGAGGGAGCACAGAAAGAGAATATTTTCCTTTCCTATGCGTTTACTCCTCCATCAAATCAAATCCTTTCCTTAAAAGAAAAGGTTGGGAAGCGAAAGAGGATTAAAATTAGGCCTTCTGCACGTACACTCAATAGTCACACGGAATTGCTTCCACTTTCCACCTGTCTTCCGAGTAGTAGTGGTATTGTACCGGGCGAGCTGGCTCATTCAGTCAACATATATTGTTGCTGGCATCTACCACTGTTATCTTATAATAGTATTCTTCGTAACCATCTTCAAAAACATTCAAAATGTTGCGGAGAAACCTGGTTATTCTTTTTTACAATTAAAAGATGTGTATATTGTAAATCAAGTGAAGTGATAAGAACATATTTGACATAAAATTTGTAAAGTAAAACATTAAAAGTAAAGAAGTAATACACGATATTGTTTTAACTTTTAATAGGTATAGGATGATGCCTATATGTTGTATATAAAGCTGTTGTAACCCAATTTATGTGATAAACCTTAAGTCTTACCAGGAATAAGTAGGTCTGTGGAGTCTACTATTGTTTGAGAATAATCTTATATGTATTTTGAATTTATAACGTGGGCTAGTCTTTGCCCTAGGCGAGTAGTAAGGTGCTTTATTCGCTTCAATTTAGCTCATTTAAGACGCCGGCAAATCAGTTGGCGTATACCGAATAAAGCTATTGTGAAATTAAAGAACCTCCTGTGGTTTTAAACAAGACTTTAGAGAATTATATTTTTGTCTGATTTTATCTCGCATTTTTAAATTGTTGATTCCATGTTCTGAATACCTTAGGAATTGTTCGATAGTTAAAGTACATTTTTAAATGTTAATGTATTTTTTAATTTGATACTATTGCGTAATTAAAAAACAAAATTATTATTAATTTTAATAATTAGAGTCATTTCAGAGCAAACATTTTTAATTGTTACCTATATATTATACATATGTATCTATATTATCTTAACTTATCGTTTATATTATCTTAGGCGTAGTTTGTATTTATCAAAATTTGTAATTTTGTACTATCTTTATATTTAATGCATTGAAATTAAATCATAGCTCCACACTCTTAACCCTTCACTTCCTGCACTATGAAGGTGACAAAAATAGTTTTTTTGATAATACGCGTTTATGTCTATTTAAAGAAAGTTTTGTGTCAAAAAATGTGCCTATAAAACATACATAACGTAATAAAATGTCCTTCGTATGCACATAAAATACAATTCAAATAGTTTTGTCGGTTTGTAAGCACTTCAAACGTAGCGCTCGTGTGGATTCGTTTGCGATGACTGTGACATCACAACAGGCCATTGGCTGAGACGTATTAGTGACGTTTTTTATAATGACAACCGTCACCAATGCGCTCGGTCACCTTATCAAGTCACTATGCGGCGTAGATTACTGCTATTAGTGAGATTAGATTGAAACATTACTAGCGTCCTAAGCAGACGTTGTCTTATATTATATTAAGATTAATTCAGAGTTTTAGGATCTTCCAACAAAATAACCTGATACAAGGTCGCAGTGCCATCTAGTGGATTCAATTGAAATTAAAACTATTAAAGAAAACCCTTAATAAGGTTATACATAAGGAAATTATTCAATGAAGTTAAAGAAGCAGGCTCTATGGTGGGTAGGGAGGCAGCTGGTAGAGAATCGAATGTAAAATATGATGAACATAAATTCTAAAATATCTCGACACGACTTGTTAGTTTTTAAAAAAAAAGGATCACGTAAGCGTTCCTTTTGAAATGAAATAAAAATTACTACCATCCCAGAAAGGCTACATTCATTTCACTTTGATACAACAGGCCAGATAATTTTGGCACTGTAAAGAAAATAGGAAAGCAACTGATTCCTAACTAGCGTATAATGTGAACTGAATTTCCTTGTTCTACAAATTATATTTATGATAAAATTTAACCAATGAACGCACGATCTTTACTATTTAATCAGAATCCACTACACAAATACCATTTATATTTTTGAGATTGGAGAAAAGTTATATAAAGAAAGTTATAGGTATAAAAAATTAGTATGGAGATATTTTTTCATTGGATAAAGCGCGATAAAATAGTTACGTTATTTGATCATTGTTATCCTCAGAAATAATTCGTTATCATTGTAGTATTACTCTGTTTAGATAAGATAATTTAAATACGTATAATATGCATGTGAAATCATTGTTATTATTTTCCAATAATTCATTTTTCCTTATCACTTGCAATAAAAAGCGATAAATCCGTTTTTATATATCAATTTTTAAATTAATTTTAAATATTATTTAATTGGGTTACCTGAATAAATCTTCCAAAATTTATATTAAATAGTCTTCGCAATATATGGCCGGCATACCGGCATTGGATTTACAGGAGTTCTGATGCATTCCACCTTTTAAGATTATGATACGCTCGCTTTTTGAAGGACCCTAAATCGTATCGCATTAGTCCTAGTCCCATAAGATGGCATAATATGAATTTTCAACTGATATATCTACTCAGAAAATCCGGGGAAGTTTGCTAGTCTTTATAAAATAGTAGCAAAAGATTGGTATAGATAAATAACGTCCCCTCTTCCACCTGTCTATCTGTAGACCCCACAATGTGATATATAAGAGACAAAATGTATATGTTGTCCATAAACCGTTTATCGTCGACAAAGAGCTTTCCGTCTCGTTTCCCGCATTAGTCCGCCAATCACGGCCCAGGCTTCGCGTGACCACCGACAGTATATGAAAGCAATTTTCTTTCGCTTTTACGAACGGCCTCTTTTTGTGAGTCGACTTTTGAAATAGGAATTTAGATCATGAATGTACGTGATTGTATTGTAATTAAGCAATGTAAAATATAGCTACGTATAAAACTATCAATACAAAAATTATAAAATCCAATAAGTATTTTGTATTAATGTGACTCATAAATTTCTTTCTTTTCCATTTCAGTGATGAAATTACTATGTGTCGTCACGTCATTAAATCTGTAAATTAAATACGAAACATATACAGATTTCTACGTTTCGTTTCAGCTTGAAAGAAGATTGCCACTAAGAAGTATTAATGTCATTTTTGCAAACAATGCCGTCTTTATAATTTTCGCGACTGCAATAATCAGATTACGAAAGAGCCTGTAGCCGTTCCAGCATCAACTCTCTATGCATGTGAGGAATTCAAATTGCGTTCCCCTTCCCGTTATGGTATTGTTTGAACACGTTGGCGCGTGCCGACGCTCTATTTCCATAATTCAACTGAACACCCACTCGGCTCATTCTTCAATACGCTCCACAAGATTTATCTTCCTCGCTTAACATCCATATGGTACTTAATACATACGGTATAAAGCTTATTTTACCATTGTCTTTTGTTTATCCAACGCTAAGTTATCATTGGCCAAGATAATAGCATTATTCGCGACATCAAGCTTATAATTATTCTTTCTCGCGATAGTAACAATACGACGCGACGAACAGAACAGCGGAGAAAGCTGCCCTTAGCAAAGGACGTATTGTAATGTCCCATGATTCATTCTTATGATAATCATTGATTGTTTCAAATATTAATTAGCTTTGACGAACCCTATAGCCCGTGGTTAGGGCATTCGTTACTCGTCGTTTAGGGTTCTATTCCTAAGAGAAACAAAA